GACAATCCTGATGTTGTTGCGTCGGCTTCGTCCCTCCAGATCGATGTTTTTGTTTTTGAGTTTAGCACAAGCCTCTGATAGGGTGGAGCATGATGCTTCAAGAGCTTGGATGCGTTCCTCAGTTAAATTGGCGTTGGACTCCAGACTCTCAATTCTTTCACCAAGGTCAGTCACTGTGGCCTGCACCGTGTCAAGTTTAGCCTCGAGAGAGGCAAACGCCGACCTGAGCTCAGCGGTCAGCGCCGACGATATGGACTGGCGGTGCTCCTCCAGCAATCTAGTCAGAGCAGGCATGCTAATCTGGTTAGCCATGGCGGACGTGTCGTCCTTCGCGGTTTCTCTCTCTTTAGCCTGCCTGGTTTTGGAGGCCATGACGCGTGGGGGATATTATTCCCTCTTTACTAGGGATTCGGGTCGGGTTTGGGTTATGAAAAGTTAAGTTTTTACAAGTCAGTGCGGGAGAGCGCGAAGCGTGCGTCTACTCCATCCCCCTCTCCACCGGAAGTCAGGTTTATTAATATTGATGGTACGTCTGAATATGAGCTTGAACAGTTTTTTGTTTCTGTGTGTTGGCCCTGCAATACACTGGTGACCTGTGTGTCCCACCTCTCACCCAATCACAGCTGGGGTTGGCTCCAGCTCCCAGAGTGACCCTCAAGGGATAAGCGTTACATTTGATGGATGGACGGATATTTGAGGATATTAGTAACCAACTAACAGAGCTCAAACCCTTTTGTACACTTATTAAACAGCGTGGTGGCAGCTTTGTTGCATGCAGCACCAGTGTGATTTAAGTTCTCGTGCACGTGGGCTTGATGTGATAACATGAGAAAGGTATGATTACTGAGCTTTAAATGTCTTCTTTTTATTGAGGGCAACGTTATATGCAACCACTTCCTGTAGGTTGAAGGGTGGACCTCACAGAGCTATAATAATAATAATAACACACTGCTGCACTGGCTGGGGTGTGTTCCTCCTCCTGCTGTGAGTTTGTTGGACCATTTCTAAAGTTAGAGTCCCACTTGTCCAAAATGATCCTGAACCCTGGATTGTAAACTATTTTCAGAACAGGTAAAACATTATGTAGAAAATAACTGCCTAGAAATTCTTACCAAGTCCTTTTTTTGTAGTTTTTGCAGTGTCCTGTCTTGTTTGGCTTCATGGCCTTTGGCTTTTCTTTGTATTACATTATTGTGTCTTGAGGACACACAGCAAATTACGTTATCACTTGTGCTAGCATCCCTCTGAACGGAAGCTATTAAGTCATTAAACAGTGCGTACCGCACACTCTGTGATTTCCCTCTCCAATAATTAAACCCTGCCATACGCATTCATGTAATCTTCCACGTGCATGTCATCCAATCAGATTCGGGCCCTGCTGTTCACTAAACTCTGAGTCAACATTTAAAGCTATTTTTAAGAAGAGTTGAAATGTGTGTGTTTATGTGTTTGGACTGTTTGTACAATAGAGATCAAAATAATGAATTGTGCAATGATCTGAGCAATTATGCTCCATTTTCTATAAATTCTATAATATTTGAAATATGTAGATGTGCAGTTTAAGAACAAGTTATACAGCAAGAAGGCTTGCTGCTACATGCTGCCCTCTGTTGTAAGCCTATCCATTTTTCACCGCACACACACAATGAATACTCTTTCATTTGCACAGCTGTAAACCTGTCAGCTGTTGCTTCGGGGCACCACACGATATACAGGCCAATGAAACCTTAAAGAAAAGAGGGGAGGCCAAAAGAGGTGTGAGAAATAAAGAAAGGTATTTATTGAAAACATCAGCCTGAAACAAGATGGCAGCATAAAGAAATATGCCTCTGACATTGGATTAAATACAGCTATGCACCTTCATGAAGCCTATAGTGAAAAAGGAGAAGCTGCTGCATAAGCTGTTTGGAGATGATGAAGAAAACCAGACCTCCCGAGCTTGCAGCCTTGTGGAGGATAATTTTACACAATTATTAATCATTTTGGCCTTGAAGTAACTGGTGAGGCACAAGAAAATAGATCAACACAAGGACTGAAGCAGTTTCAGGAATCCAAAGTCTGAAGCTCAGACAGACTTTGAGCATTGATACAAGAGACAATATGAGACTCCATGGAGTCATTAAAGGAAGAGGCGGAGGAGGACTCACTGTGACTGTTAGTTGATAACTGCGTGGAACAGCTGCTGAAGGAACAATTAAAGCTCTACTCCTTCAATATATATATATATATAAGTTATGGACACACCACACTGTTCTTGTACCCAGACCCTTCATCGCTATGGTCAGAAGATGATTTAATGTGTAATTTGACCTTTGGTTTGGTCCATGTTCCATCCACTTACATGGAGGAGTTGGGATTTATGGCTTATACTGCAGCCAACCCCCAGGTGGCGATCAAGACACTTTAGCTTCAATTATGGGAGCAGTCATGTCATCAATGTTGATATAAAGTCTCTGATGGGAACATAGATAAAAAAGAATTTGGCTGTCAAGATTTTTTCTTTCCACAAAATCTTCATGTTAGAGAAAGCAAACGTTTTCTGCCTGTTTTCTGTTTTGAATGTCACACGTCTTTTTCACTTTTGTAGCTTTTACTGAAATGTGTGTTTTCTGCATCTTCACCACCTTAATGTCCACGAACATCAATCAGGTTCTGTGTCTTGAGCTTGCATGCGTGTCCCTGCATATGCTCTTAGAATTAACTCTGTGTGTAAATAGGACGAGCCTTTGAATTTGAGCTTGTGCCCACAGTGGGGAATTTATCAGAGCTGTGACAGCTCCTGTTCATATATGGAAGCAAGGCCAGACACGTTTGCAGGATCAATGAGAGGGTATCTCTGGGTGAGACGCTTCATGGCCACATTAGCCAGCAGCTCTTTTTGGATCAATTTCCTATTTCGGTTGCAGCCACCGTGATGCGGAGAGTTAAGAAATTAAAACCAAGGAATTTAGAGGAAAAGCAGGAATTTAGTATTGCATTTGCTTAATAAGCTAAAAGTGACACAAGTATTTTGTCACACATGTATAGATTTTCTATGATGATGACATTTGTCTTTAATTCATGAGAGGAGTCAGAGGTGTTGAATTTGAGTAACAAAGGCAGATCAACAGGACCGTGTGTGTGTGTGTGTGTGTGTGTGTGTGTGTGTGNGTGTGTGTGTGTGTGTGTGTGTGTGTGTGTGTGTCGGTGAGAGGCAGCATCAGGTTACCGCTCTGAGCCTTAGTGTGTATCTGTAGCACGAGTAGGAGATAAGATAGGTTGAGTCGTGAGATGATGGGATGAGTTCACAACCAGACGAGCTGGAGGAAGAATGAGAATCGAGGGTTTATCAGGGAAGAATGGAGGGAGACAACTGGGCTTTCATCTGGGGTAAGAACGAGACTGGAAGTTTTCAGATCGGGGTGTTCGGTGCAATTTTACAATATTTTCGGAAACAAATCAACTGGATGTAAAAGATGGTATCAAATCTAAAAATAGTAAAAATTATTATTTTAGTTATATGAGTGAAATAGGTGTCATAGTGAAAAAACTAACCAATTTCCTCAAGGGACAATAAAAGAATCTGTCTCTCTGTGAATGTTCTCTTGATTCATTTGTCTTCTGCAATATTAAATGTAACACTTTTGTGGTTTTGGTCTGTTGTCGGAGAAAACAAAATCTGAAAATGTTCACGATTTATGGAGCTTGTGATATTAATTGTGTGGAGAGATTTTATTTTGTCCTCCAGCTGAACTCCAGCTTTATTACCTCAAAGAAGGGGGTTATGTTTTTGTCTGCCTGTATTTGTTTGTGCAGAAAAACTGCAAAATTTACTCAAGCGATTTGAGGAGGGGTCGAGCATGACCCAAGGGAGAACCCATAAAATGTTGCCGCAGATCAGATTAAACAGGCAGAACCAGGACTCTTTTAGGGCGTTTTTCTAGATTTTCACAGTTTTCCCAGGAAATAATTCCTCTTGAGGATCTTGATGGGGAAAAATCAGGCACATTGTGTGAACAGTATCTCTCCTTTTGTCCTCCAGCTGAAGTCGGACATACAGGACTCAAGGGTCTGTTTGAAGGTCCAGAGTCTGCATCCAAGACCTTTTTCTGTCAAAAACATACTGAAAGTTTCTTGATGCTAAACTTTTGCACTTGTTGCCTGAACAACCTCCATTTGTATTGTTGGCCATTGAGCTGCTTCATTAGAGCAGTGGGATATCTGATGCCTCGGTCAGGGACACACTGGCTGGTAGATGTGGAGGGAGTCTCCCTCTTTGAGTTTTTCCAAGTGAGGCTGAGGATTCAAACTTGGGGTCGTATGAGTTTGTTTTGTATATAATTAGCTGTGTGATTGACAGCAGGTTCCTCTGTGCTGCATGGCCGTCTCAGCTGTTCCTGTTAAATTCTTGGTGCATTGATTTTTGCAGTCCTAATGAATTTTCCATTTTCAAAAAGAGGCCTTGAGGCTGACTGTCCGCCTGCGACGACCGTGAACACATTTTTAGTTTTGAAATAAAGTGTTTACCTTCACACTGTCACACCTCACTCATCCAGTCGCTCAATAATACATAAAAACCTCACCTTTAATCTGCTGGCTGATAGATGACCACAACTGACCTTTTTAGCCACCCGCAGTCATGTCTTTAACTGGTGGCTTTGGTGTCTCTTCATACGAGTGTTCACCCTTTTTTCTCTTCCTTCTCCTCAGGATTGAAAAAACGTACCAGGAAGGCCTTCGGGATACGGAAGAAAGAGAAGGACAATGACTCCACGTAAGTCCCCTTCCTCCTCTCTGATGTTTGATCCAAACACAGAGCATATTAATCGTCTCACTGCTGAAAGTATTTCCAGTATTGCTGTGCAGTGGAGCAGAGAGCCGACTGAAACCTCAGAACTGGAATTAGTTATTTCACAACAAAAAGAAATTAATATACAGGCCGGGAGCAGGACGCGCAGGACATTACAGCAGAACGAAAGGATGAAAAATGAATGAGAACAATTACCGGATGGAATTTTGTTAGGTATCTGTCCAAAAGAGCTTCAACAGCCGCTTCCTTTAACTTCACAGTCAGAGATTAGAACAGTTATGAACAACAGTGTTTTGTCCTTTGTTCTGTCGTATCAAAACTTCGACCAATCACGATCCACATTCTCTTTTACCGCTTTTGGAAATGTTTTGTCAAGAAAATATAGACTCAAATTAGCCTATGAACTTATTGAATTGCAGACACTGGCAAATTTCACCATGTTTTATTCTTTGTTGTATCAAATCAGATCTTACTGAGTTTCTATGGGTCATTTACCTTCAAAAACAAGATGTCTGCCACCTCCTGTATCGTAAGTTTTTTTCGCTTCTGTCTGGCAGCAGAAACAAGAAGCAGAACTGATAGGCATAAAAAGCCTTCTCCTTGCCTCCATCGGCCTTTTATATAACTAAGCTTGAAGTAGTTATTGTTATTATGTGGTTTGACCGTATGTGGCCACCACTGGCTGTACGACTGACTGCTCCTCAGGAATAATAAAGATTCATGAACCGTCTAAAGTCTTCACCGCTCTCTTAAAGCTCACGTTATCCACAGCATTGACTGGCATCTTTCAATTCATTGTGTATTTTCCACCACTCTCATGTGTAAATGACAACTTTAGGGACCTATGAGGAGATATGACTTGGGTTCTTTTTCTGTCTCACAGGGGGTCCCCAGACAGAGAAGGGGGTGTAAGTAAAAGAAAATATTTATATACATATCAACCATCTGTAACTTCTGTGTTCTTGTGTGTGTACTACTGGAGGAAATTGGGACTGGTGATCATGAGGTGCATTATTTGTTTTCTCTTTTTACTTGACAGGAACCCCAAGAGGTTGAATCGGTACTGAGCTCAGCTTGAGTCCTACAGACTAGTAATAGGGTAGTGTTGTGTGTAGAGCTTAGATGTGTTAGAGATGACACGGTACCTTTTTCAACTCATTAGTCAGCCGCCAGTGTTGCTGTTTCAGCTACTGTTTCATTAGCAGGCTCTGTGAGGAGGGAGCGAGGGCTGAAACAACAAAAAAGACGACAGGATATTCCACAGTGACATGTAGCACAGACCTAGCTCTCGTATATTATTATTATTATTATTATTTGGCACTTTTTGCAGCCTGCAGGATAATAGCAGGAGTCAAAATCATCATCATCAGTGGATGATGTAGAGTTTCATAAATCTAATTTGGGGTTAACCAGATTGGCAAGAGGATAGTGAAGTCCCCGGGGTCGACTGGTACCGCGTCATTAATTTCTGTCCCCCCTACACTATCTAACATTAAAGACTGATATTTGATCTCATGACTTAAGAAGTTGTGAGAAAAAGGAATAAACGGAGAACAAGTTGCCTTCAATTAAAAATGTTCCAAGACCAATTTCAATTCCTGATTCGGATACCTTGGCTTTGATCTCTGATACAGCTTATATAACGTATTTTAACAGCTGTATGCCACTAACATTGTATGGAAGTGATGGTTACTATCATTGTTGTGTGACTTGGCTCAATTTAGACATACATACATAGAGATAATGCATAGAGATAACGCCACGTTTCTGGCAGTATCTGAGACATTTTTAGTTTATAGTTTCCCCATAGCTCCAATGTACAGTAGTAAACATAGAAACACACCCTGTTGATTCATAGCAGTGCAGAATATACTGTGACTCCAGCGTCTGATGGGTTTATTATTCATATTGCATCTCTCCTCAGTCTCAGAAGAAAACCAACGGGTCTCAGAACGGCTTCTATGGAGACATCGACTGGGACAGATATGTGAGTGGACTTGTTACCTTTTTAAAATCAAATTTAGGGATTCAACTACTGTCATTTGCTCCAGTTTACTGTTTACATTGTGGGTTAGGTTTTTTGATTTTGTCAATATGTAATAGGTCAGGTTTCATTAAGCAGTGAGACAAACTTCCACTGTAGCTCAGTTAACCTGCAGTTCTCTGAGAAGCTGCTGTTGTTAACACAGACAACATGACGTTTAATCAGGTTTGCATTGACTTACTGTTTGTTTCAGAACTCTCCCGAGGTGGACGATGAGGGCTACAGCATCAGACCCGATGAGGAGTCTGAAGAGGGAGATATCCTAAGCGTTACTTGATTTGACTGAATTAATTTCAAAAAATTTTTTCTGCTGAATCACTTTTGGTTTAGTTAAAAACAGCTTGCTTCATTGTTAGTACAAGATGTGTCAAATATTTGCACACTGATAAGAGATCAGTTTGTTTTCCTTACTGGGAAATTTACCTCCCCTCTCAAATTCTGATGCGCCTGCCAAGTCTTAAAAATCAAATCCTCATTTTGTTTTATGTCCACAGAGGAAAAAAAACACAGTCCTTGACGTACAATGATGATAAAATGCGTCAACTGCTTCACAAAGAGCAATTAAAAACAGTCTAAATAAAGTCACGAAGGCGGGGAATATAACAGTGTCACAGACGAATGAGTCACTGACGCACTAGACGTAAATATGAAGTTGCAGGTTGTGCTGAGCAGAGTTGATGCTCGGTTTTCTGCTTTTCAACTGTTTGTCATGGAAGTGATATGCTCACTTTGCAGTTCTCCTCCTCTCAGCATGTTCAACACTTAATCTCATTTGCAGGTCCCTGTACCATATCTATAATTATTATGTAGCTCACACTGGTGATGAAGGTATTTGCCCATGGTCAAACGTCAAGGTTACAGTGACCTCATATTTATATGATTGCATATATCAGAAACACATATAGTACATGCAGGGGATTTCATTACATTTGACACAAACATTTGGACTGAAGGTTGAGCTGGTTAGAATTTGGAGTTCTCACTAAACCCTATTTTTCCTCGTGAACACGTTATTTTAAGAACGCCTCGAGAGAATCCTTTCAAGTTTGGCACAAATGTTCACGGATGAACTGATTAGATTTGGGCGGTTAAAGGTAGCCTCACAAAACATGTTTTTGGCTTTTTGATCATGACATGTTGTGTGAAGGGAACTGTTCATTTTCCTTGACACTGTGCTTGCACCTACCACAAAGAAGGCCCACTTCTTCTCCTCTGACGAGTCGGAAGGAGAGGAAGACCACAGGAAAAGATTCAAAATCAAGATCAAGCCACTGCGGGCCGTGCAAGTCACAACGGCGCCCTCGGTGGACGAGCTCAAAGCCTCCATAGGAAACATAGCTCTGTCCCCGTCTCCTCTGGTGAGTAGCTCTGACGTCACTGCCCCCCCGCTGCTGGGTTTCATTCACAAAGAGCTTAATGTGCTTGTACAGATCACTTCTCCTTGTCTTCATCTTTGCCTTTTAATTTGTAGGAGTCCATATTATTACGTGCACAGAGGTGGCCGTGCATGTGTTGTCCAGATGTTGTCTTTGATATGCAATTTCTTTTCCAACATGTCGAACATACTGATGATTTTTGTTCAATGAGATATGCATGATGTGTGTGCTTGCATGTATTGAGCTTCTGTCTTTCACAAACATTGCGCTGCTGCTCTGGATTTGTTCTGCAACTTTCTCTTAGCACCCCCAACTCTGACTGACAGCCTCCGTTAGTTTGTGTTGTTTGTCAGTCGGTGGCGTCAGTGACCTCAGTGTTCTCCCATTCAGTCCAGTATCGCTTAACACAGGGCAGATGTCCCAACACAACAGACACATCTCATGACAGTGATGCTGCCACATAGCGAGGTGTGAAGGTTTTGTTTTAAAGTGATGCATCTCAGCTGATGAGTCTGAATTCCAGCACTCATCCCCCTTTAGACAACTTGTAATCAGCAGTGGGGCCCCGACACAGGGTTGGTCCTCCCCTGCCTTTATTCTAACCCCTACCCATAATGCCTATGTTCTCCAGTGATGACAGTTAGCCTGAGTGTCCGACCTGAATAATTCAGGTAGGAAAGTGGGCACAATGAACCTGTGTGTCGGTCGGCTGCACAGTAAGATCGCCTGTGGTCATTTGAGCTTCAATCCTTAATAATTCAGTCTAGACTCTGTGCAGTCGCCTCATAGATCAGGTGTGAGGCTCTTCTCATGCTGATAATAGTAGCGTACATGTGTTGGAGGAATATCAGGGGAACACTGGTTGTTTTATATGCACTAAGATAAAAGGGACAACAAATTGCAGGGGATAAATACACAAATCCTGCAGGTCAGCTATATTATTTGTATTCCTCTTCAGTTAGACAGATATTGTGATGTATCGTTATATGATTGCCTTAGTTGCAATATATCCCAGAATCGGGTCATGTATCACGTTTTGAATCATATCATGAGCAACCCACCCCTATTGCACACAGATGATTTGCTTTTCAGTGTTAATGTACTTATCGTCCAACTGCTCCACCCATGTCTTCTTTTATTTGCCATCTCTCATTCCCTGCTGCCTCTAACGATGATGTTAACCTCTGTAGAGGAGTCCGGTAAGCCTCTGCTTTGCATGTTGTTGTGTTTCTCGACTCTTCTTTTCTTTCATCCCTCATAGTTGGCTTTTAAAATCTGCTCTCTGTTGCTGCAAATATGCTCACTCCATATGAAGGAAGATATTAACCGTTGGTTTGATTATTGGTCCAAGATCTATTGGGCAAATGTTCACTATTATATGGTGTGTGTGTGTGTGTTACATACATGTAAGATGCATATATGTGTGTGCTCAGCATTTTTATGGCACATGAAAGCTTGTGCTCGGAGGCCAAGAGTTTTTTCCGTTGACTGAGACGTCCTTAATCTGATTTTAATTGGTTCTGGAGTCTCGAGGTTTCAGTTCTTAGACCAAATTATCAAGACTGCCAGAAGCAAGTGACAGAGGAAGCAAGTGAAAGGTCAGAGATGGAGTTAAAATGTTAGAACTAAAAAAGACATCTTGCATCACATGTTATTCCTCCGTTATATTATTGTCTACCAGCAATTTGAATATAGGACTTAATTATGATAAATTCTTAATTTCTGAAAGTATCTGCCACGGTGGAGTCTGCCCGACACACACAATTCTTCTGGCACTAAAAGTAGAGATGCAACATTTAATTTCAGAAAAGAAACAAAAAACTCTGCTTGTCTGATTCTTTTATGTCATATTGTTTCAAAAATATGACTTGAGTGATCCAACAACATCAGCACATCTGTAGACAACATTTTTATCATGTTAAAGATCAACTCAAGAGGCTAGAAGGGCACAGCAAGTGATTCTGAACACTTCCTGTTTCATTTCCTGTTTACATACAGCAGGGAGACACTGAATGGTCACGACTAACAGCGTCGCTCTGTATCCTGAACTACCGCATCCAATGAAGTGAATCCTCTCCAGCAGCATGTGCCCCGCCCCCCCTTTGCGTTGCATCACTCTAATCACTCGCGGCCCGCTGCACAACTAGAACAAGCGCAAGAGTGAGGGGGAAGGAGGGAGACGGGGTGGGATGCGATGTGGACCTGACGCAGGCAGATGGGGGAGATTGCAGCAGAAATTACAGAGACCAACAGATGGGAGGCTCACAGGAGAAGATGAAGGGAAACTCGAATGACCAAAAAAATAGCAGCTTTTACCACAGGAAGGATCAAATGAAAACATGATGGTGGAGGTGGTTGAAGATAAAACAATGGGGGGTGGATTGGAGCACTCCTGCAAATACCCACTTGCTTATTGAGCTATTTGCATTTATACATATATTCAAAAATCCCTAACCTGAACAAGGCTCTCTGTCACACAGTCTAAAACAGATGAGCATAATATATCCTCAAATGTGACCAACCATTCAGTGTGATGTCTGCTTTACTGATTTGTCACTTTCTGACCAGGTGTCTCTTCTCTCTTCCTTTTTGCTGGTCACAGAGACGTAGCCCGGTAAGTGTCTTGTTTTCTTTTCTTCTGTGACCCTGGTGTCAGGCTTAACATTTCACTTGACGTCTTGTTCCCTTTGTACTTGTCCTCCTGTCCTTGGGGTCGGTTGAATGAGACTGAGGATACGTAGGTGGGTTCAGTGGCTGAATCAGTGGGTCACAACTGTGATATAATTTGTTCCGATGTTGATATTAAAACATATAAATGTACGAAAATGGCACTAGAGCACTCTGAGCCGCCCAGGCCCAACAGTTCTGCACCAACTTGCACAGACTGGTCAGTCAACACGTCCGCTTTTTCATCAAGATCCAGGAAATGAATCCTGGATCCTCACCAAAATTGAATGGGTTCTTCCCTGGATCATGACCCACCCCTCCACAAAATGTTATGGATATCGGTTGAGTGCTTTTTGTATAATCCTGCTGGCAAATGATCAAAAATAGACTGAAACATAAACTCCTTAATGGCAGATGCACAACAGTCCCCTTAAATTGTATCAAGCTGCAGCAAATTCCACATGTTCATATCAGTCCCCTAAATTAGTCAGATTTATTCTTTTTCATTATTCTATGAGAAATTGTAAAAGAAAAGCCCAGATCTGCCTCTTAGTCCAAAACCAGACCAAAGTTTATTCTCATCCTTCACCAAGTTTCACAGAAACATGTATGAAATGCACTGTGTAGTTTTTCCAGATCACTAGTGTGCCTGTGTACTTGTTTTTCATCTTGAATTGCTTCTCGCTCGTTCTCTATAGAGGGAGAAAATTTGCACTTGTGACAGCTGGACCCTTTGATGTCTTACTCCAGTCACTCCCCCATCATCGTGTCTCCTCATCTCCTCCTCTCTCCCCCTCTCTCTCCCTCTCTGCCCTCTGCCTTCCTTGGCCTCTCATGTCCCTCTCATGGTGAACTCATACATATGCTCATACATGCACTCTGGTGTTTAAGATCACAGCTGGAGAGGCAACATTGTTCGCCTCTGTGGCTACAAACCTCATTTCTCTTGTGACTCTCTCCTTCTGCACCTTTATCAGTGTCACACCTTCTTTAGTTCTGCAGGTGGCTTCAAAAGCATGTTTTCAAAGCTCTCCAATACTTTCCTGGCTTTGACACCACAGCTCGCAGCACAGCTCGCTCACTGCAGGCAGCAGCGGTTCACCAAGTTTCCATTTTCTGCCTTGTGTGATACTAACATGGTTGTTGTCATTGAGTTTTAGAGCCAGTTATCATAAGAGATTTATGCTCCTTGAATTAAATCTGTTTCCCAGATGATGTATATTTCAACTGTTTCATGTGATGAAGCTGCTGAAGTGATTTGTTAGAAGTAATTGTCTTCCATTGATGATGATGCTGTTTACACTATTGGTAAGCAATGCACTTTTAGTTTTCTGAAGATGGAGATTGAAGTATCAATATAATTAGATGTAGAGTTTTTCGCACCTCAAAGTCCAGACCCAGGTTTATTTTTCTTCTTGTATTGTTTAATGTCATCTCAACCGCTTGCAATTGGCCCAAAAGTCTGAACTATCCAAATAAAGGTTTTTACGCCGCAATTGAACCGAACCATTGGTCAGTCGGACTCAGAGTCAGATTTTGTCACTTATCTGAGGAACCTTTCACACCTAGTATTCTGGCTCTGAACAAAATGAAACGTCTGGAGCAAAGAAGGTAGATGTAAAAGTTGTTTTACACCAAAATGTAGCAGGTATATGCAGGTTTTTTAAATGAGACTAAAACTGCTAAAGAAAAGAAAGGCAATTGACTCTTTTCCCATTTGAAGGAACAGAGTTTACCTTTCTGTCTTTTGTCCCTGGTGAGTCATGTTCAGTGTCACAATCTGACAGACAACTAAGGAGCTCTTTCACCTCACTGTCTTGCCAAGTTAACTCATTGACTCTGTGTGTAACATTTCCATCACATTTCATCCTCAGAGCCGGAGTCACATAATAACCTGTGTCTACCGCAGTCATTTGACCTGGGAGTGAATGCAGATTGTGTCCATTCCCATTGTGGACAAAAGTCAGATGTTAGTGGGTTTTTTCACCCGTGGAGAAGGGGATAGAAAAGGCTCTTATGATACCCATGATTTATAAAAGGTATATAACCTTAGGATCCAAAGTTGAAGTGTAAAGCAAAGAATAGTATTTCCACTTTTTAAGAGCATACATTGTTCCCTGCAACATTTGACGTGTGTGTTGCAAAGCTGTGGATCCCTCTGACCTTCACCAGTATAGATCCTGCATCACTGTTGTGTTTAAACTACACAGCTTTATCAGAATTAAAAGAAAATGATAATCTTTTTCAATGTGTGTGCAAGTGTTGTACATAGACTCACCATTAGAACACACCTGTAGCACCTCGGTGGTGACACTGTCTTTTGTTCCTGTTACAGGGTTTGAAAAGAAACACGTCCAGTGAGTATCAGCCCGGTCGCACCTCCGACCCTCTCTTCTTTAATGATGCTGAATTTGGATGTAGTCATGGTGGTTAACTGTTTTAATTTGGGTTCCAGGCGAGGAGATTGCCAGACCGAGACGCATCGTCCCCACTCTTCCCACTGTGGCCCCCACACCAGCTCCAGCACCACAACCCCCCAGGTGCCTATACACTGTTTCATCACATGGTTCAGTGCAAACCACAACCCCTAGAGGTGTTGTGTGTGTTTACATGTGCTGTATGTCCTGTTGATCTTTCTGTTAATCATGCTGCTTCTTACTTTCATCATATTTTTGCTCTGTAGCAAATCAAACTGCAGGTGATTCATAAAAATGTCAATGTCTGATCATCCAGGACCCTAAATGGGATGTGGAGTTACTTCTGTATTAACTAAAACAGTAATAGCGGCAATAAATCTTTAAATCTTTCACCTCGTACAGTGAACACCATTCACATACCAAATAGCTTTAGTTTTTAAAGTGCAGTCAAGAAAATAACTATTGACTTAACATATTTCAATTTCATATTAAAGTTTTATTACATAAGTTCAGTGATAGAGGTCACATTTAATGAGGTGTTTTCATTATGTTGAGTTAGTGTGAATAAGTCAAATAGCTTGATTTGATCAAATAAATTGCATGTTTATTATATTATTTATTTATGAGTTTAACTTAATTTAATCAAATCACTCTCAATCTATTTGAGTTAATGACACGAATCTACATGATAGAGAACACATCATTAAATGTGACTCTTTACACTGAACTTATGTAATAAAGTTACATGGAAATTTTGTATTTTACATATATACAGTGTGGTACATTTTGTTGTGTTTATCGGCCAATTTTAAAAGCACAGTCACTGAGAGGCTGTCACTGTGCTAATCTGCCCAACAACACTGTAAAGTGCTTTGTGCTGTGGCAATTTTATCACAGATTCTTTAAGCACGAATGCTCAAAAAACAAAATATATAGTTTTATAGTTGTTTGTCATGGTTAGTCCCATAGATATGAGTGGACATTAGCTCATTTTATATGGCTGTTTCTGTTTGCTCCAAAGCTGGTTTTCAGGGTCATCATGTATCTGTTGTCTGTCCAGTGTAGTTAATGCTGGAGCCATCATACAGATATAACAAAGTCAGGTAAATGTTTTCTGTCCACATTTAATTTAATGCTTTATTTAACCAGGAACGTCACATTGAGATACAATATCTCTTCTGCCAGGGAGTCCTGGTCAAGACGGGCACCACATGAAAAATAAAATGTTTCACATATAAATACAAGCAGGGACATTCCACACTGAAAACAAACTGAAACAGAGAGAACGGACTAAAGCACAGAACAGACACATACTGGGAATCAACGGCAAAAATGAATTATAGAAAATAAATACCACAGCCATAGTTTATTTCCAGCTTCTCTTTTTGCTCTGTGCTGTCAAAAGACAGCTGTTATATCCCAAAATACAAACTAATATTTGAATGACAAAACAAAGTGCCATAAAGAATATATTTTTGAGATTAAACTATAAAACTCAATTAATTAACACTAATTTCTATAAACTCTTCATGTGAATATGCAGAATCCGTTGGATGGATCACAGCTCACCTTCTTTCACTTAACAGCACATGTAGCTGGATTGAGCACAGACCAGTTTTGATGATATAATAAAATATAGGAAATAAATTATAATTGTGACCTATCACATGCTGATGAGAGGCAACAAGGTGCATTAATAAATGTTTAATAAGTGATTCTCTAAAAGCATCTTCTCCTGTTCGTCTTTCTTCTGTGGCAGCAGTCAACCAACACCAGTCTCTGAAGACACCACAGCCTTATTCGGGCCTCCTTTGGATACATCTTTCGGAGAACAGAAAACTGAAGGTATCTCTCCTCCTGCGTCTTTGTCACTTAAGCTGTTTTCACACATGAACTCTTGAGGATGTCTGTAGAATCTGGTCTGGACTCTCTGAGGAGGCTGTTTTCACCAAAACCAAAGACATCTTCGTTCGTGTCTCCTGCAATATGGCCCCACTTTTTCATCCTGAGATATTTGTATCTTTTTTTATTTTGCATTTTTGTATCTATGTAGTGTTAGAAACGTCATCAACCCCCTCACTCGTTCGTAGTAAAGTCTGCGGAGGTTCTACTGCTGTGCTCCCACAGTGGCTCCTTTGGATTTTCTGGAGGTGGTTTGCTTGAGAAAATCTGCAGAAAGTCCCGGGGTCCTGTCCAACATTTCCTTTCACACATGCAGCCCACCAGGAGGATGTTTAGAGGATCTCTGGTTTTTAAAAAGTTTTACTCTTGATCGCTCTTATCAGCCTTGTTTTTGTCTAAACTTGTTAGCGACACCATAAAAATGTGAACACACATTTTCCCTCTCTCTCTAAGGCTTCCAGATAAACCCTGCTTTGCTGTCATAGCGGATATTCTCTCCCTCTCTCCCCCTCCCTCTCACCTATTTCTCTGACATCATTGTTCTTCCCCCAGGCACACTGTGCAGTGGTGGACTCACTCCATCTGCCTCTGCTAAGGTCAAAGTTGAAATTGGCACTCGGAGGTCACGTTCATGTGCACACTGCCAATCCAGTAGGATCTAGTGATGCCGGCTGTAGAGGAGCTCTTAACTGTTACACAACTTCCTAAGTTTTGGAGTAGATCCAGATAAAAGGGCAGATCCAGGGATTCTTTTTCACTTTCTTGATAATGGCGAGATCGGGCGTTAGTTATACGCTTCTAGTAGAACATAGGTCAGGAGAACTAATTCTTTTCATCTCCCATTGCCCCCATAGGCGTCTACCGATTTTACTTTTACTGTGTATGCTGCCATTTGGCCACTTTATACCTAGACATTAAATCTTATTTCACATAAAATCTTTTTTCACTGCTTTGTTGATGACGCACAGTTGTATTTACCAGTTAAGTATTTATTTTTACTATTTTTTGAGTTGGAAACTTTGAGTGCATTAATCTGGAAATTTTGTTTGCTGCCACGTCCAAAATCAACAAAATATGTAATTTTTGGATATACTTTAACTCTATGATGCCAAAATTATTACAGCAGGTAGTGTCCTCTGGTTAAATAATGTAAATAAAATCATTGAAGCATCTTTTTCTGCACATATTTGTCATATTGCTTAACTGCATTTGAAGAAATGCAAATGTTTATGTTTCAACTTTGTCACCTGTGTGGCTCAACTTGAACTGGGTTGAAGCCACATTTTTAGCTGTTTGCAGTTTGAGTTGCATACTGCAGAGCTGTAACATCTCAGCATTGATATTCAATCAGCAAGATAACACTAGTGAAATTAAAACTCTGGCTCTCTGAGGCTGATCTTTATTTTTATCGTCATATTAATCTTTGCTCTTGTCACTTTTAAACCTTTTCCTCTTTCAATCCTTAAACAGTAAGAAATCATGACATGTTTTGGTGCTAATGCCCCTGACTTGGTTCTGTCCCCCCTCCTGAACTTAGTGGTACTGTCTGAGTCCGATGCGTGGGGTACCCCTCTGTCAGAGCCAGAATCCTCTTTGACAAGGTCCTTCCCAACAGGAAGTAAGTTTTATAAATCTCTGCATATTGTGCCGCACTTCCTATTTTCCCTGGAATGACTTCACAGACCCATCAGTTCACCTCATGACCCCTTCATCGTTCATACCGACGCACTCAGGAGATAACATCATCCATTTCACAACCAAATGGTCCGCCTCCCTCCTCACCGCCTCCTCCTCGCATTTGGCATGGTGGTGGTTGTACTGTGTTGCATGGTGGTTGGTTTGTGGGATTACACCTTCTCCTTCAGGTTGTCTCGGTTGTGTTTGGCAAGAAGAAATAATACCTGTAAAAGATTTTCTGTCTTGTTAGAACCGCATCCACAAACCTTTTTATTTTTGCTGTGTATGCAGCCTGACATGAATTTCAATGATGTGTTTTTAAACAGACCTTGCCCTTAAGGATTCACTGCTAATCTTGGAGTTACGTGTTAAAAATGTCAGGACCATTAATTGTTGCACTTCTATCATTGCAGCACCTCCTCCACTTCCACCCAAGAATGTCCCAACCTCGCCTGTGACGACTGGCCCTCCCTCTGCAGATGACGCTGGTAAGAAATCTTCTTGCAGTTATATCCCTCCGGCTTTTACATTTGATCTCAGCAGATTCTTTATCCTTTAACGTTCTCTGTCAGTCAGTCCACTCGCTCTGTGATGTTTCACCTTCCTCTATTTGCCTCTGATTGGTCGGCTGTTATCTGTGTTTCAGAAGCACTGACAGAAGCAGGCGGCAGGAAGCCCTTGATAGCAGACTTGGACAATCTTTTTGGACCGGAGCAGGCGCCCCCTGCTGGCGAGGATACAGGTGACACGTGGGTCTGCTTCAGTGAAGAATCTTCGAACCAGACGCCTCAACCAAAGGACCCTACCCCTCCGCTCCGTTCCTCCCCGCCTCCTCCAGAGGAACCAGCACCTCCGTTACCAGCCTCCCCGCCTCCACCTGAGTCTCCTGCCCCTCCCTTACCTACATCACCACCTCCTCCAGGCGACGCTGCACCGCCTCTCCCTATCTCCCCACCACCGAAAAACGACTTAGTCCCCCCTCTACCAACTTCCCCGTCTCCCTCAGAGGACCCTGCTGCACCTCCTGTCCCTTCGGGTCCTTCCACACCTGAAGACCACAATCCTCTCACAACAGCCACCTCGCCACCCCATGCACCACCAAAGGAGCTTGCATCTCCCCCCGCTTCATCTCCCCCTCCGCTCGCCTCACCTGCAAATGACCCACCGGCTTCTGCTGCTAAAGCAAGCACCCCTCCGGCAGGGAGTCCTCCTTCTGAGGAGCCTGCAACGCGCTCTGTCCTTCCACCCCTTGCCCTGTCTCACACAGAACAGCCCAGGAACACAGACACCACCCCACCCAAAGAAGAAGCCGGTGAAACTGTCAGCTCGCCCAAAGATGCTAGCAAGGGGAGCCGGACCACACCTCCCCCACCTCCTCCACCCACGTACAGGGCAGTGGTGTCCTCACCCGGTCCCACTTCTGGAGCTGCTGGCACGAGTAGCGGTGAGCAGTTTTTCTATACAGCTTGAAATGGTGAAAATAACAATGTCACTTCAAGATGATAACAAGCGTGGTCGTCTGCTAACCAGAAGGTGGTTTGATCTCCAGCTCCTCTCGTCTGCATTATAAAATGTCCTGGGGAAAAATACTGAACCTTAAAATTGCCTTTGACAACTGAGCCGATGCAGCGATCTTATTGAACTTTTGTATTTCTGCTCCTTCCTGCAGGTTCCTCCTCTCCGGTGCGACCTGCAACTCCTTCATCAGTCGACCCCACCCCACCACCACCTCCACCTCGCCCCCCCTCAAGGCCCAAACTTCCTCCTGGGAAACCCACTGTAGGAGATGTGGTAAGAACCAGTTTTTACGTTTTAATTTCAACCGTATTTGTGGAGGTGGGCGCTCTGATGAGTGCCAGGTCAGTTTTGTTTCGTTTTATTGTCCATGCAGAACTAGGTTTATCCCGATCAGTGCTTCCTCTCATTATTCCATGAACACTCAACTCTAGCCCATTTTCAATTTTGTTTCAGAATCGTGCGTTCAGCCCGCCGGTCCACTCAGCCAGCCCGCCTCCCATCGCCCCATTGGCGCGGGCCGAGAGCACCTCCTCCATCTCCTCCACCAACTCTATGAGTGCCGCCACCACCCCCACCGTGGGCAAAGAGCTGTCCGTGTCTGTGTCAGGTGAGTTCCCCGTCAGCCGTCACCAAAGCTTTTCCACCGCTGCTGAGTTCAGCTGCTCGTGTCTAAAATTAAAAGCTTATTATTGATTTTAAGCATCGGCCCCGACCTTCCTCCTGCTCCGAGTATGAAAATGAGTCACGCAGTTTGTTTCAATTCATTTATTTATTCATTTTTTAATTTTCATTCCAGCAATGACGGTCCATCATCAAATGATAGTTGTATTCATGTAAGCTGCAGTAAGAGTGAAAGATGTGAATATGAAGCAGGGTGATAATTTTAATGCACAAACACTCTCCACAAACCTTTAGTGAATAAATGACACAATAACAGTTGATGAACTTCACATTAATGTAAAATGTGTGGAGACAATTTTAATTCTAAAACTGCCCTTTTTACCCTTTCAGTGTTATTTAATTTTCTCCACATTTATGTTTTATACACATTATTTTTTTATTTTGTTGGCATGACAGTACTTTTTTGATATTTTTTTACTTTACGAATAATTTCTTTCATTTGTTAAATTTTTTTCTGTTTTGTTTCTGCCATTTGTTTGTCTCTCTACTCTCTATTTGTCCTTTGCTCGGTCAGAAGACGATGCTTATGTAGACAAACTGCCCACGTTTGAGAGACACTTTGATGCGTTTGCAGGTATAGTAACGATTCCCTTCAGGAAGAGGAGTGAAGTGGGGGACGGGTTCAGGGGGGGTGCGTCCCTGTGTTCCATCTGTGTGATGCTCTTTACCCAGAGTGCACTTGACACTGGAGGGTAAAGGCCATCGCTGATTGTTTTTGTACTTTCCTGACTAAAGCCTGTCAAGAGCACAGGTGGTAGGAGAGAGAGAACAAGATTTCTTTCAGCCAGAAATATAAAAAGATCTTTGTGTCGAACCCACTTATTTGACATGTCCACTTCAGGTTTTACTCAAAGATATAGGGACATAACTCACATTCATTTCTTTTCTTCTTTAAAGTGGCAGTGAAATCACCATTTTCCGTCATTGTTTTGCTCAAGTCATACCTCCATACATATTTCTAAAGCTTTTAATAGCTATGACTGCCTTTCTCTCTCTCTGTCTCTCTTTCTCTCTCTCTCTCTCTCTCTGTCTCTTTCTTTGTCTCTCTTTCTGTCTCTGTCTCTACTCATTCTTATTCCACCTGTTTCCTTCACACATATTCTCCCTTGTGTTGATGCAAAAAAAACTGCATCTATTGCAACATTTTGCCTCTCAAGGAAGTGTCCTCCCCTTTGACCGTTTGCCCACGTGTGAGACTTTTCTCTCTGTTTTATGACTGTGCATCAGTGGCTTTTCTTGCCGTGTCACCATGGCAACCTCCTGGCTCTTCTCTCGGTGACACATGTCATGCGGTGCAGTGCACTCCCAGGTACCTCGGTTCTGAGTCTGCACCACAACGCTGCATCTGAGTGTTTGTGTGCTGTGAGTTCAACCACCATGTATGAAGAGCTCCTTATCTGTGGGCCCTTGAGATCCATGTCTTTCTCGCTTTCACAAACACACACACACACACACTCTCATGGATACCATCAGAGCTGCTGCTTACTGAGTTGTTTGAAGTCTGGCATGAGAATTAGGCCAAATTAGGCAGCGAGCAGCTGTTTGGTATTCATGCCATCCTCCTGTGTACCGCTGTAATAGCACGACACAGCCTCAAGTTCAACCAATCTCCACCGGCCGAGAAGCATCTGTCGACTCCCACACTCGACCCCGGCGTCCACCTTTCACACCTGTCACTCACGCACTCTCTAGCCATAGAAATCCCCCCCCCCCCCCCCCCCCCCCCCCCCCCCCCCCCCCCCATCTAAGCACCTGCCCTTTTGTTCTCTCCATAAAGCCCGGCGTTGTTCTCATCGTTCCATCATCCAACACTCTCTCAGCAGCACACCTTTACTGATGGGACCCCACTACACAACAAGAGTGAGGACGAGAAGAAGCCCACTCTGCTTTAAGTGTTTAACGATGAAACATTGCATATTTGACATTGTGCGAGGTGTTGTGTTGCTGCAGTCTCATACAAAACGCATGTAGTCTGGTGCCATGTGTTTCAATTCAGAAGTTGAAAACCCACCAAGTCTTATTTCTTGCCAGACAATCAGTAATTAGCCTTTATTGGCTTGTGTCCCCTTGAAGCAAAGAAACTTCTCCCTGTGATCGCTCGTTACAGGTTTTTAGCATTTCTGCTGTTTTTGTTTAATTTAAAAACTGTGATGTGTGGTAAAGAAAGTGCTGCACCTGGAGGAAAATGTGAGAGGATCAAGAGACTAGTGCCAGTTTTGAGCATCACCTGGTTGCAGGATTACCTTTTTCTTGTGTTGCACTTTGGAGAAAACACCGACTGCTGCTCCTGAAACTGGCAGACACCACACGTCTCCTCAGGGAGCAGCTCCACAGCCTCCTCTCTCCTGCATCTTGCTCAGCCAACCTCCAGCAGCAGCAGCACGCCTGGCCCTCTCCAGCACACTCCACCTGAGCACCACCTCTCCTCGCACACCTTTACAACACCCATGATAAAAAACATCCCGTCTCACCCATGCTGTCACATGTTGTGGGGGTGTCCGGGCCCCTTTCTCCCTCTCTCCCCCCGACCACCACCTCCACCTTTCACCTCACCGTGCCGTGTGATAGACCTGCCATGTGAGACTCACGCTACTGTCCTTCTCTCCCCCTTCCCCCTCTCACCCACTCCCCTCCCTCTCATCCCTATTCCTCCTCGTCCTTTCTCTCCTCATCCCTTCCTCCCTCCACCCCTCCACCCCACACAGAGAATGACCAGCCATCCCTTGTATGGTTTGACAGAGGGAAGTTTTATTTAACCTTTGAAGGTAAGTTCTCTCTGCACCAGGGTTAGTGTACACACACGCACATGTACACACACACACTTACACAAACACACACACACACACACACACACACACACACACACACACACACACACACACACACACACACACACACACACACACACACACACACACACACACACACACACACACACACACACACACACACTCTCTTGCAAGACTCATTTGTGCAAGCTTCACCTCTGCCCTCCCTGCCCTGGCCCTTCTTTCCTTCTCCTCTTCTTCTTTGTAGTCCCTCCATCACCCTAACCCACACCATGCTAACCCCTGGCTGAGCCCTCTCATATGCGGTCAACTACGCATCACTGTCATACTTCTCGTTCTTTCTCATTTTGTCTGAGCTGACCACCTTTCATTCCCCGAAGAATCGTGGTTCTTCGGTATTTTACTAATCTCTATTTTTCTTTTGGTCATTTTCTTTTTTTGTTTCATCTTCAGAGCTCTCTGATCCTTTTCTTGATCTACTCTTAATAATTCAGCTTTAACAGCACGTCTGGAATAAGCATGCATCTTCCGTATCTATTCTCTGTCATATGCCGGTGCTTATTCAATTTTTAAAAGCAGATGCGAGTGTCCACTGTTTAAACGCTATGAATTAAAGGGGGATATTTGGAATTTGTTTGCGTCTCACAGTCAAAGAGCAGAGAGAAATCGGTATCTTCTACACACTTTACCTGCTGTTTCCATACATCCTTACTAACATTGATATTTCTTCTCATTTCTAATAATTTCAAAGTTTCACACGTTTTGTTCCCTCATTCACCCACAAATTATGGGTTAAGAAGAGTGTAGAGCCCTGAAATTGGGATCGGAACATGCAAAATATCAGTTGCTTGTATTTTATGCTGATATTATTTTATTTAAGAGCTCTGGCTGAAATATTTATATTATTTTTTTAATGTAGCTGTGACTTTGTCTGTAAAGAAAAAAAGAAACATACTTTTTTGAGAAATGTTTGATTGTGTTTCTTGTCTTGATCAGTTAACTTAACTGTGTGTGTGCCTTGTGTGTATCTGTCTGTGTGTGTTACGTCCAGGCTGCTCCAGAGGGCCCAGTCCTCTCACCATGGGGGCTCAGGACACTCTTCCCGTGGCCGCTGCTTTCACAGAGACAGTCAATTCCTTCTTCAAAGGAGCCGACCCCAGCAAGTACGTCAACAGATTCTTCAGCTCACTAAGACACATTTTACAGCCACAGCGTTTAAAAAGCAACACAGCAGCACTGAAAGTAATGAATCTGCTTTGGATCATTTGCCAGTGGATTTTCCAGTGTTTCCAAAATGTCCAGAGTTTTTTAAACTCTGACTAAATGATAATACCAGTGCCTTTTTTACAAAATGCTGAATATACGAAGCCGCAGACAAACATCTGAATTTGTCCACCAAGGCCCACATTACACACACATGGATATCAGTCCGCTAAATGTGGCAGATTATTTTTCTTCATCCCTGGTAAATCAGTGAAAATGTCCAAAAAAAAGAAAGATCGAAATATCGTAATGTTAAATAAGTGGAAAAGAAAGTTGTGGACCCGCTTCCTAATTCGGATCCACACTAAAATGGAATGGGTTCTTCCCTCACCGACACCTATACAATTCCATCAAGTAGTGTTGTGTAATCTTGCTGACAAACAAAATATGCAAGGTAATTTGGTGATACTGTATTTTTTGCAGTGTCTCTCTCTCTTTCTGTCCGTCCTGTCTTTCTCTAACCGTGTCCTTCTCCTCTCAGGTGTGTCGTGAAGATCATAGGTGAGATGGTTTTGTCGTTTCCGGCGGGAATTACGCGGCACTTTGCCAATAACCCGTCCCCCGCCGTGCTAACCTTCAGCATAACCAACTACAGCCGACTGGAGCATGTGCTGCCTAACCCCCAGCTCCTCTGCTGGTAATGACACTGCAGTGAATTCAGCACCTCACCCTCAGAGGGAATTTATCAATACACAGTTTTAACTGAGGCAGAAAAGAAACTGACCTCTTTTAATGTCTACTTGAGAGTACCCATATTTTTTTCTGTCATAATTTAACTTTATTAAACCAAGTATTTGTTCTCACAGTGCGTTTTAATTTACTTTAGTAACAATAATTTCACTTTAAGAGCATGCCTCATGTAACCTCATACAGTATATGTACATACAGATATGTTTTTAAGATGTAAACATTTTCTAATTCATTTGTCATAATATATTTCATCATAATAACGTTTCCACACAATAAATCCTTTTTTTTAAACTATTAATGATATTTAATATTGAAGCAGAGATTATTTCTTACAGAGCAAAGTCAATTTGCTTCATATACGGAAAATAAAACGTCTGAACGAGTTAAGTGATGACTAGTGAGGATGAGTAAAGCTCAGTGAGATCATTTCAGATTCAAGTGCAGATCACATGTTGAGTCACTGAGTTCATCTGAGTTTTCAGAACAACTGCACTGAGCCAAGGTCAGTTTTTGTTGATCGAGCTTCTCTGACTCATGTTTGCACCTGTTCTAAAATTTAAAAAAATCTGTTCGGTGGGAAACTACTTTTAATGCTTATAAGAAAGAAGTGCAACGCTTTACAGCAGAATAATTATTGTTTCATAACAGACAAGAACAGAAATATATACATATCATGAGAATTACAATACATATAAATACATGTATGTAAAAAAAACAAGCTTGTGTGAAAATATGTTAATTATAATAAAATATATAAATGAAGCCAAAAACAAATATATAAAAAATCCAGTATATACTTTAACTGTAAGTATGATTCTTTGCAAATAAAATTTTGTTGGCTTTTATTTTACAAAAGCAAGAAGCTGTTAAAATGTAGCTTTTCCCACATGATGTCTTATGAGTCATTATTCAAAATTCTGACCAATGTCAATGAAATACGTTCAGCACTTTACATTTGACGTACGAGGTTCACCAGGTAAGAAAATCACCAGGATCAGATTCAAGTGTTTTCATGTTTCCCCACCAGTGACACCACCACACAAGCCAAGGCCGATGCCAAGGACTTCTGGGTGAACATGCCAAACCTGATATCCCACTTAAAAAAAGTGTCGGAGCAGAAGCCGCAGGCGACGTACTACAACGTCGACATGCTGAAGTATCAGGTAAACTCAGGAACCGTGACTTGATATCAATAAGATCACAGTTACTTTCTGAAATATACAACGGAAGTAAAAACAACCCTCACTTCCTCTCAGTGTCGGACTGGAGAACACTCACCGTGGCTGCTATTTGTTAAACATAGTTTCACAGGTGCAGGAATGAGCTCAACACAACAGGATGTTGAAATGTGGGTGAATTGCTTTGATGCAGAAGCGACTCCATGTTGTATCTCTGTCAGGTGTCTTCGCAGGGCCACCAGTCCACTCCTCTGAACCTGGCAGTGAGCTGGCGGTGTGAGCCCACCAGCACGGACCTGAGAATAGACTACAAATACAACGGCGAGGCCATGTCGACGCCGATGACGCTGAACAATGTTCAGTTCCTCGTCCCTGTCGACGGAGGGGTTTCGAAACTACAGGCTGTCTTACCTCCTGCTGCGTGGTACAGTTCCATTTTTCACTTTTGTCCAGTTTCAAATGTGAAGCGTAATAATTGAGCGACAGGTTTCTTCACTGGTCTTTTTTTTGTTTCCTGACAGGAACACTGAGCAGCAAAGAATCCTCTGGAAGATTCCTGATATCTCACAGAAATCTGACAACGGGGGTAAGTGAAGTATGATTGTTGAAAAATATTTCAGATGAGGCAAGAGTCAAATAAAATATATAAGATTTACATTCTAAATTATTCAAATGGTAACAACCTCAAATAATAGAAGGTTGAAAGAGAGACTTAAGATGAGACATGTTAAACTCTGAACCAGGATTCATCCATAGAATCAGGAAAAAAGGTTCATGAAAGACACTGGTGTCAGCTCTGAAGTAAACAACGCCCCCACCTGTCTACAAATGGTATTACAGTTACAAACCTCCTGATTTGCTGTTATATAACTGTGACGTCTCACTGCACTCTGGTAGAGTGGCTTTCCAGAGCTTCTTTTATTCTCCTAGGATAAAATGATGTCCACGATAGCATAGCAATATTTATTTATATATATATATATATATATGTATATAAGGAATAGTTTGATTTGATTCAGCAACCTGACGTCACATAATGCACTTTGTTTTATTTCCCTTTGCATTTATTAGAAGGCAGAAGGCCTGCAGGGTTCACCTCATGTCCATGAACAAGATAATTAAATTTTCTTTACGATAGAAAATAAACTCAAACGTGATCAGTTTAACTTCTTTTGGACATGGATCATTTGCAGTGTTTGAACAGTAACTCTGTGGTTTCTTTTATCATTTAATGTCCTCTTACAGAAAGTGACCCTCTGATTAGGGGTCGTTTTCCTTTCATATAAATGTAAATCTTTCACCCAGCTAACATGTCGATCCTGAACAGGCTTTTAGAGTCTGATCCTGCACTGAAATGCTAAATCTAGCTGCTTCTGTCGTCATCGAGAGCAGAAACCAGCATTTATCATTTCTGAACCGACCTTTTGTTCAGCTATCTGTCAAAATTGTTTCCAATTTTGAAATGCTGTTCCTATATCAGTGATTGTGAAATATATTTGTGATTCTAAATGCAGTCTCTTCCCCTCAGGTGTGGGGTCACTGTTGGCGCGCTTCCAGCTAACAGAGGGTCCCAGTAAACCAGCTCCACTGGCGGTGCAGTTCACCAGTGAGGGCAGCACGCTGTCGGGCTGTGACATTGAACTGGCTGGGCCCGGCTACCGCTTCTCTCTCATCAAGAAGAGGTTTGCCGCAGGTAAGTTCTGTCATTTTCGAGCCAGGATGTCTGTACTGTCTCTGCCACTGGCACAGAGTGAAGTTGGTTTTAACATGGGAGCTTATTTTAAAGTATGAAAAACTATCAACCACATTAAAGAGTCGTGATCATCATCATTTCATGTAAAATACACATTGTGTATGTAAAACATTATACTTCTGTGTATTATTCCATATCATCTTATTTTTCTACGTGGTGATGTAATTTGAATCTAATCTGTATGTTTAAGTACCAAACTAATTACTGCAGATTATAGAAACTAATAATTCATAAAATTCTTCACAAATATTTATTGGTTCATGCATCAGTCTCATTATTTCCTGCATTATACTGTTACTTAGCAGCCTTTATGACATTAACCACACATCTCTCAAACAAACTCTTGAAACGTTTCATCGATGTCTTTCAGGAAAATACCTGGCCGACAACTAACCTATGCTACTGAGAACAGCACTGTTGAACTTAACGACGGCAGTGGACTGAGGATGACACAGAGGACAGACCGACACCAGGCAGACTCTCCATGGACCTTTTCTGAACCCACGCGACAGATCTGCAGATCCTACCCAGCAGTATTGTATAACTCGCATATAACATTGTGGAAACTGTTTTAGGTCATGTAATTATTGTATTTGTACTCATTCTACATCTGTATTGCTGCAGTTAGACACCTGGGTTCTTCCTCTCCTCTGAAGTCTGTCCCCATGTCTCCATCCTCCTCCGGTCAATGTTTGGTGGTGTTTTTAAAAGTTTCACTGCAGCTGCCTGACCTGACGAAGCGGAGGGAAAGAGGTTCGGTCATGATGTACCTCTGGGTGACGTTTGCTATCCCCAGTCCAGAAAGTAAAGTCTTTGTATTCAGACACCCACCTCTAGCTCTGACATATCTAAGTCAGACCCAGTTGAGCTGAAGTAGGCCCGAGAACAATACATAGTAAGTCATACGTCTTCATTAGCTCAGAAGACAATCACAGCTCTATGAATAATCCTTCTGTTGGGTCCAGGCGTGAAGCCAGAGACGGTTGTCCCCAGCGTCTCACAGACGGAAGCCACTTGTGTGGCTCTTGCCAGCAATTAAATGCATTTACCGATGCAGTTTGACACACGTTGTCACAGAGAGTAAGATGGAGGAGGATGTTTCGCCCCCGATGTTTGTGTGCGATCGGATGAAACACAACATTAAGTTACTACAAATAGATTTTCATGCATCGCCTACTGGTACTACAGGGTCACATGTCTTTGGATCTCTTCCTTTTTATTATAATTGCACTGATCAGTCGAATTGGTATTTTATTTTTCTGAAATACACACACACACATACACACGGAGAGGGTTTTAGCAAGTTAGGCAGCTGCAATGATAAATCAATGTACTCGTTGCTGAATAAGAAAAATGTTTTCTTTTTTCCCGTCAGAACAAAAGAAATGTAAAAAGTGTCATTTTAAACCAATAATATATATCTTAAAGGGCGTTTGGTGTTTTCCTCGTATTGTCAGGTAGCCTTTCTGTTGTTCCCAGGACAGCAGTGTTAGACTCCAGAGTACACGACAGCATTCTATTTTTATTTATTGATGACGGCGACTTGTTGTACAAAACATGTGATTCTGTATATGAATAGAATTTGAATGGTATCACACAACTCAGAACCCTTAAAGGTATAAATATTTGAACTCTTCTTTCTTTTCTTATCTGTGTAGTTGGGTAACCCGTGTACAGTATAAGGTATAATTTTTGAATTTATTTCAGATATAATTTTTTAACTCAAGTGCAACAGAAGATTCGAGCTATATATGGGTGTGGGGGTAATTTAAAGAAAACAAATAAATATCTTCCTGGATGCTGTGTTATGCTTTGTGAAAGCAGTGTTAATGTAGAGTTAGCTGGACCATGGGTGAGTTCTACACTGTAAAGAACCAGTTTAGCATTTTGGGAAATATTCTGTTTTCATGTGGTTTCTGAGCGTTAGATGAGAAGATCAGCACCATAATTATATCTTTACGTTAAACAGGAAGGTGAAGTGATGAGACGTTTAGCTGAGTTTATCATAAAAACAGGAAATGAGAGAAATCTGAGGTTTTGGTTTTCTGGCCAATTTAGCATCAGTTTCTGCAGCCGTAGATTTTTAACCACGATAAGGTAATGCTAATTTAGATTGATATGTAAGATCGATGCCATTATTCACATCTAATTCTCAACAGGAAAGACGACAAACATGTTTCCCAGAATTCTGAACTGTTCCTGTAAATAACAATGACGACAAATGCTCTTAGTTTACTTTGACAACAGAGAAGAAGTCTGGTGACCGTGGAGCCACTTCTGAAACAGGATGCTTTTTTTTTAATTGGGACCAGTTTCCTTTTTGTCTTTTAAATTGTGGTAAAACGAACGTTATCAGTTCCCTCATCTACCGACTCGGTTTAGATTCGACAGTGCGTCATCGTTAAACTTCTCACCTGTTTCATACCTGTTTCCGTTCACCTCTGTGGCACCTGAACTTTATTATATCACGAGCAAAATCCCCAGTCATCCAAGCAGCGCTCAAATCCATGGCTTTATTTTGCATAATTGTAATGGTCTCTGTGAGATGACATGAGCTGATGAGGTTGTGGAGTGAAGTCGACCAAAATGCTTTGTTTCTTTTTTTTCTTTTGTATTTTACGTCAGTCGGTCCTCTGTAAAGGACAATAAGCTGAATATTTTTAAAACGGATAAAAATGAAAAAATATTATATTGTTTAATGTGATTAAAAACACTGTGCTGATGATGTTGAACTTCCTGAATGCTCTGACACTCAACGTGAAGAACAAAAAGTGTGTGTGAAGTGTAGCTGAACCTCTCTGTACTACATGTCGGTATTTTGCTAAATGCAACCAATCGTAGTCCTTTCAGAGCCGTCGCTGCAGCGTAGTCTGATGCTCTCTTGATTGGATGTAGTTTTTTTAACGTGGTCCTTTTACCACCAATAAAAATCAGATCTGGGCCGTGCAGTTAAAATGGAAATCTTGTTCTCAACTAGATATTTGAGTTTTCATTTGCAGACCCAGTGTGAGAGAAGACTGCGGTGGCATTTTGAAACAGTGATGATGATTGGTGCCATTTAGCTCCTGGTAAGTCGTTAGTTTGGTCACACGTTTTTTCAGCCATGTCCGTCTTTCAAGCCGACTGGAAGAATCCACATGCCTGAAAGAAAGTCGTTACCTTCTGGGTGAATCTTGAAGCTATCAGTGCAACAGTCACTACAGCATTATCTACACAGGCTCTCCTTACACATTTCCCATCATGCATCTGTTTAAATTAGCACTACAGCTTACAGGTCTTTCAGTTTGAAAGGCAAAACAGAACTCTCTCAGTCTGCTGGTTGTTAGTCTTTGTATCTTCTAATAAAAAAAGGATCAAAACTTCTTTTCTTCCCAGATCTTCATCTCCGTGGTGACTTTGTCCTGCAGTAACTCATCATTGCATGCAGAGCATGCAGTAAAATGTGGGACATCGATGATGATAGATAGTACTGAAATGACGTGTTGTGCTGAGTGTCAGTTACCTGTGTTAGTGTTGAGAAGAGAGCAGGGAGTGTGTCTATGTGTGCTATACGCCAGAATGCTTTTTGGTTCTGTACCGTTAACCTCAAACACGTGTGCAAGCTGTTTGTACAGTACATAACAATGCTAAGATCAACTGAGAAACTTAGTTTGCTTCTTTCCAAAACCAATAAAAGTTATAAATGGATGCTGCGTGTGTGCAGTTTTCTTTCTTTTATGTTTTTGTATGTTATTGTGAAAACAGAAAAAGTTATATTCTTAGGCTTTTCTCAGCCACATTTGCAGCTGGTAATGGAAACGTCCGTCTGTCACAGCTGGTCCACCGGAGTGAAATTCTACACAGACGAAAGGAAAAGTCATGGAGTCGTCAGTGATTCTCAACCATGGCGTAGCAAGATCAATTCTGGGGTTCTCCAGATGGTTGTGTAGGAAAATATATATATATGTATATATATATATATAGATAGATATATCCCAAGCTTTCATGTGTTATTAACTACTTAAGTTATAAATGAGGACGTCCAGAGTCAGTTCAGGTTGGATCAGGTTGAGCACCAACACCCTGGTAAATCAGGGGAATAGACCAAAAGATCACACGATGTGTCGTGAAGTGAATTATCTCACCAGCCTGACTATACTGATGGAACCATCCTTCAGGTTGGTAACAATAGTGATTTTTATAGATGAATTTGTTTCCAGTGTTCAGGACTGTAGAAAGAAGTCACACCTCACGGAATATTATCTCTGTGCCAGAACATTTATTTGATAAAAATAGCAAAATGATAGAACAAAGCTCGAGTTGGCTCTAAATACATTAAAGCAGTAAGGACATTTTTACAAACCTGCTGGTTTCTCACTACATACAGCACACGAGCCTGGATTTAAATCAAGAATCTGAGTGGGAGGTGATAAACTCCTGCAGTTAAGAATCATTAGTATCAGCCCTGAGTGCTTTTACTTCAACTAAGTTTGTTTTTCTTCATTTTACTCTGTTTGGGTCGCATATGTTTTCAGAAACATGTTCTCAGATCTACACATCTAAAGTCTATACAGGTCAAACTAATGAATGAAAACCCTTAAAAAATATCCAAAGCAATTTGAAAAGTAGCAGTTGTGGTTGTGAGCGTCAGTGTTCACACAAGACAGAGATCAGATTGTTTTAAATCGATTTTCAGATTTTGCAGGCGAGATGAAAACAGTCACTTTGGTCAGTTGGAGAATAAGTGAAGAAGAGGAGAGGGAGTCGCCCTCAGCAGAGGAAGGTCAGGTCACTCTTCCTGCAGCCCACCTGGCAGCACACGGTGGTCACCATGTTATTCATGTCTCGCCTGGTCACCTCAGAGGCCGAGTTACTGCTGCTGCTGCTGCTGCTGCTGCTGCTGAGCTTCTCCAGGCTGCTCTGTTCCCCTGCTGGCAAAGCTGCAATGACAAAAGACAAGGAACCTCTGTAGAGAATATTGTTCTCTTGCCACCATTACGTCACTGTCATCAAATGCATTCTTGTATTTGTGGAAGACGTCTGCTCATAATAAAAGGTAATTCCTTATAACATAGGAAGAATTATCTTTATATCTGTGTTTTCATTAAATAAGGAAACTCGAAATGGCCGTGCTGATTAACTCGGTGCTATTTGTCTTCTCCAGTGTCACTTTACTTCTTTCTAATCAGCACGACTGATCTGCTAACTGGGTTTGTTTGTGTGTGTGTGTGTGTGTGTGAGAGAGACAGTGGGAGAGGCCACCCGGGGGAAGATGCCCAGCTCCAACATTTAATCATGATATGTGGCCTCTAGCATAATGAGTCCTGACAGCAGACTGAGTGTCGTGGAGCTGGGGCACCTGTCCGCCTGCACACAGCCTCTGAATGAGAGACATGCACTGTGGTATATGATGCATGTAAGGAAGGAAGTCCAGGTTCGACTCTGAGGTGCCAAAATGAAAGAAAGGAGTGAAAACGCAGAGGGAGCAGCGGCGAGAAGCTGCCGGTCACTTCCACACACATTTCTCCTCTTTCTCTGACGGCTGCTTGTGAGAGAGAGAGTTAGAAAGTAAAATCAAACCCTGACAGAACTAAAGAGCAGCTTCAGTCTGATCATTAACAGGATGAGAGCTTAGGTCACTTTCAGACGAAACAGAGTAAAGAATGTATGATTCCAGAAAAGATGCAAACTGGAGGATTTATCAAAGAGGCGACAGTTTTCTACATGCGTCTATGTGGCCAAACATTTTTCCAAAACTACAGAACTGTGTTTTCATTTCAAGTTTTCAAGACATCACTTATGTCTCGCTCCTAATATAAGATAACTGGAAGAAGCGGATTCAGAAGATATGTGTGACCCTGACAGACAGTGAAATAAGAGGATTTTCAACTGACATTTTGAGACTGGAGAAAAAGTAGAAAACAAAGCAAATAGAGAATATTAGCAGAAACACTAACCCTGTGGCATATATCATGCTATTCTGCATGGTTCTTTTTTCTGGAGACACATGCAAAATCTGAACCAAGACATAAGACACTGGACTCAATGCACAATACAAAAAGAAGTGGTCTCACCGTCCATGTCTGACTCGGTGAGGAATCTCCTCCAGCGGGAGCCTCCACAGGTGTAGACCACGGCTCTCAGGAACTCTCGACCACACAGCTTCACCGCCCTCACCTCCGCTCTCACCTGGTCCAAGCACGCCACCGCACACAAGAGCAGAGGCAGAATCACCAGAGCCCTCATCCTGGATGTACCTCAGTGACTCGTCTCTTAAAGATGCTCTGGAGCCACTGCAGCTCTTTGGGTCCTGAGATGTTTTTCTGTCTGTTATCTGTTTCTTTTGCTTCAAGTCTTCTGAGAGCAGCAGCCGGTCATTGATTCAGTGCTTGCATCTATCTTGCAATATATAGCATCCACCTTGCAGTCCATCAATGCTGAGCACCCCCTCCCCCTCCTCCTCTAGCTGGCCCTTGGCCCATCCCACACACACACACACACACTCGGTTGTGTCCTGTCCAGTCATTTTGTGTTTCCGGTCCTTCCCCTCCATCACCATTTTCAGCCGTCTCTGAGTGAGTGAAAGCCATCAGACTTTTTACAACCTTCAGTTGACAATGACATTACGAGGAGCGGCCTCTTCATCCTCCCACGTGATTACGTGACTTAAAGGCCATGATTGCAGTGACCTTCGCTGCACTGCACAACTAATGAAGTGATACAAAGTGACCCCCCCACTCCCAGTCAGACAGGTGTTCGGTCCGTTTACGACGCTCTGATGGCCCGCTCGTCTATGTCAATGTTGACAGTCCATAACGTGGGTCATTATGATGTTGCTGATGTGATACTCGACATTTCAGTTCAATCATTAACGGTGGAGATCCCTCTTTGGGATGTCTGGGACATGATAGAATCATGTTGAGCTGGATGTGCTGTGTGTTTGTGTGGCTGTGGAAAATAAAGAGTTTTGATAAGAACAGTTAAGCAGACAGATCAAACCTGAAGCGTTTTGTTTTAGGGTCACATTTGAGTGGTTATGGAAATGTACGGTACAGTTGGAAGTGATACACAATTTTATTTTCCAGGTCCAGCAACTTGAGATGACTCAACATTATTTGGGCCTTTTAACTCTATGAGTTACTCTATGAGTTACTTTATGATTGACGTTGGTTAAATTAAGTTTCTGCAGCAGTCACAGTCCACATGTCGGTAAAATAACCACTGAATCACTAAGGGTCATGTTTTTACATTGAAATAACATTTAATAAATATTGTCTCAGTGAGTCTCCGTCTACTTCACCTGCTAAATATTTTTAACTGAATAAAGATTGAACTATTTGTCCTTGTTTGAGTCTAAATGTTCAGGCCTACCATCACTTCACATGCTGCATGTGAAGAATTCCACTGAATGACACGAGGTGAGTTTTGCTGTTATAGAAAGTTACTGGGTGCATGTATATACTTCCAAATCTTGTGCGTCATACATTTTCAACCTCCACAGCTCCATTCATGTCTCCTCACGTGTGCAGGGCTGATGAGCTGTGAGCACCGATGGCTGTAATCAGAGCTACAGCTTCTTCTGTCACAATGAGTGACGTCTCTCTTCTTCTCTCAAAGCTCTGATTACTGACCCACAGACCCAGAGATGAGGGAGAGGATGACCCAGAAAACAGCAACACAATAACATCAAACCTGTTTTATTGTTTTTACAATGGCTCCCAGTTTGTGTTAGAATGGATTTATTTGATAATTGATTTATTGTTTTGAAGGGTCTTCATGGCTTCAGGCTGTGTCTCTCATCTTTTAATTTTCTGTTCACCTCTGCGCAGGTTGCAGTCTTCAGGCAGGGGTCTGATGTCACTTCCTGAAAATAGGCTGAGAACTGTAGTTGTTTTAAATCTCAGCAAAAAAACTGCATATTCCTGAATTTAATATGGTGCCGGGTTATTATTGTTCTCGCTATTTATCTCTATTATTAATATTATTATTTTTAACATTATTTGTTTGACTTCCTTCTGTATTAAGCCAGGTCAGGTTGGTTGGGAGTGAGTGAGTGGCTGTAGATTGTGGTGTGACACTTATATGAAAACTTGCTGATGCTCCTTCTGTATGTTTCTGTGTTTTTGTGCTGTATTAAGGATTCTGTCTTGGTGTTAACCTCTACTGCAAATTATAGGATTAGTAAATTCAATCCATCCATCCCTTACTTGGGTAGAAGATCTGAGCACCCAGCTTCCACCTCACTTCTGAGAGCAAACCTGCAGCTTTTCTAATGGACAAACAGTGTGGACCAAATGTCTGTCCCCCCCTTGTTTTAATCTGTGTGAATACATATTTACAATCTTCATATAATAAAATGCTTAATCCCATTACATCTGCAGATAAAATCTGTCCCCATGAGATTCCTTGTATCTCATGGAGACATTCAGTCGCCAATTTCCCTGCAACCAAATCTTACGACGACCAGATAAACGCATACAACAGACACAAACCTAATTTGTCGGAAAAACGTGAGAGTGTGTGTCTTCAGTCTGAAAACCTGCATGCTGTCCTCCACAGTGTCCACCTGAGAGACACAGGGACGCTCAGCTGTGTTTGCCATGTGAGCCGACCATCATTGACTGACTGAGGGAATAATGGCTGAAAATTGCGGCATAAAATGCTATAAAGCTACAAAAGTGCACTAACGCAGACTGCAGTACAGCAGAATGTCAACAAAAGGCAAAGGTTATGTGTGAGAGTATAGTGCGTTCAATAAAAACTCATCAATTCTACCAAATGAGAGTATCACGTATTTTACACAGTATTTTCACAGTGTAATTTTGGTACATTTCAAAATATCTCTGTAACTGAAAAATATGTTTTATCTTCCTTTACCTGTCATTACTGGTTTGAAAATGGAGGATCGGGTTCGCGGACAAACAGAGCAAATATGGTTATGTAACCAAAAGCATTTTGAAAAACTTTTATGTGACAGGGACGTAAGTACATGTCCATGTGAGGGGGCGTAATACCAACACAAAATGGCTCATTAAATGTGTTTTCAGGCCACTGAACTGAACCTTCATCCTTTTTCCTGTACACTGCGTCGGCCTTTTCACAATACGTGCATCCTGTTTTCAGTCCAGAATTGACGGTAGATGACCTTATATGACTGAGATGGACTTAACTGGAAACAATTACTTCGATCAAAAGGCCTCTCAAGAACATTCTGTCTGTTTTAATGATGCGTTTCTAGGACTCCATGCAAATGTTGCATTGTGGGAGTTGCAGTGTCTGCAAAAATCAAATGAGGACAGATTTTCTGACCGAGATGCAGCAGCAGCAATCGATTATTTACATGTCTACAAGTTGTCCTCAATAAAAAAAGATGTTAATGACCTGGGAAAAAAATTACTTTTAGTTTATCAACATGAAACAAAGAATTCATTTTAAAACAATTAAAGGTTGAATACAATTGTTAGGATATTAGAAACATGACAGGCAACATTAATTCTAATTTAAACTTGACGATGAAGCTATGAATTGATTGGTAGCTTTTACATTCTTTAAAGCTTGAATTTGCCAGTAAATCTTACCTGGGAGAGGACACGTAAGAGGGCAACATGCCTGTAAAGCCCTATAGCGCCACCTGCTGAACAAGCTGTAAAAACATGTTCACACTGAATAGAGCAACAATAGAAACACACACACACCAATAAGAGTAGATATATAGAGCAACGCTTAATTGCTTCATGTATCTTAGTGTCACTTTGTGATTCGTAGAGCAATGCACTTTTGCAAAATCAAAAATTGTTAACAAACTTAATTCGCAGTTTTCAGTAAATGCAACTAAACAGAGTAAAATTGAATCTTTATAGTGAATTCAGCTGATTTGATTTTTCTCAATGTGAACAATTAAGTTAAAAAACTGTCTTCATGCTGTTGGCAGACCGTCCTCCCCTCCTGTAGGTGGCGGTGTGAGCTTGAAGCGACGAGTATCTGAGCGTGTGGAAGAAGACAGAGCAACATGCAGCAGGGAGCCTCCATGTTTATCAGTTTAATCACTTTGTTAAAATGACTCGTTTTACTCGTTTACTTTCATAATATTCTATAATTGTGTGGGAACATCAGACGCTAGTTATCAGCCGCGAGGTGAGTCTGAATGATGTGTTGTGTGCTAACTGAGGAAGCTAAGCTAGCTAAACAAACCACATGCTAACAGGCTTCTCTGCTGCAGGAAAACAAACTGAGCTGTGTTGACCTTGACTTCACAGTGAATACAATCTAATTGACTCTAAGAGATTATATATAAATATGCATGTATGTTTGTCTCAATGGTAAAGATTTCACCACCTTCACTTTAGTTAAAGTAACATTCTTATTGTGAAAATACTGCTTTATAAGTAAATACATTCAACTCCTACTTATATTAAAGAGTATTTTCCTTTGGCTATTGAGGTAAAAGTGAATAAAGTAGAATATTTGAACTGTTGAAGTCCAAACTAACGTACATTATGAATATGATGAAGAAGTAAAGTACCTCATATTTGCACTTGATAACAGTACTGATGTAAATTTTCTTTCTTACTGTACATCACTGATATTAGTACTGCATTAAATCATAATTTACATTAGAATCTGCTAATTACTTTTGTGAGTATTTTAATCATGAGTTACTCCTTATTACTAACTTTATATTTCCCTGTTGTGGGACTCATGAAGGATTATCTGGTCTTGTCTTTGTCACTTTCTCTAACAAGACAAGATGGGGTGTTTACCTCTGAGCACCTTTCTTTTGACCAATTGTCTCCCCTTATCTCTGCAACAGCAGCACAGTTGGACCTGTCATGGAGCCCGTCTTGCACCAGTTTTGCCCAAGGGTGTTCCAACGCCTCCGCAGAATCTTATATCTTCCCAAGAGGAATCACTCAGACTGTGCAGAACACAACACCACTCCTGCTTCCACTCAGTACAGACACACCAGACCCACACTCCTGGTGTCACGCCTCTACCAGCCATCAAACCTGCGTGATGTGGGGCAGGACAACCGGCTGCAAGCAGACATGACTTGTAAGAGCCAGAGGCTCATGCAGCAGGCCGGGCTCATCCATCCGTCCAACCCAGGGTGTTACTACTACCTCCCTGCCACTGTCCGCTCCATGGAGAAACTGGTGACATGATTATTTTGTTAAGTGAATGAATGAAATGTATAAAGTAACCATGGGTCATCTTGAGGTTCCATGTTGACAAAGATGGATTTTGTATATATATTCATTTTGATTGTGCATAATGTGAAACCTTCTGTCTTTGCTGAACAGGTGAGAGTGATTGACCAAGAGATGCAGGGGATCGGTGGACAGAAGCTGGACATGCCCAGTCTGTGCTCGGCCGATCTCTGGAAAACCAGTGAGCGCTGGGACTTGATGGGAAAGGAGCTAATCCGTCTGAAAGATCGCCATGGAGGCGACTACTGCTTGGGTCCCACACATGAGGAGGCGGTGACGACTCTGGTTGCTCACCAGGCAACTCTCTCCTACAGACAGCTACCTTTGCTTCTTTACCAGGTGAGCTTTCTTCCTCTTATTATCTCCAGAGTGTTTGTGTCAGTAGGCTGTACTTAAACATCTGGATTTTATTTGTATATGACAGATTACCCGCAAATTCAGGGATGAGCCGAAGCCAAAGTTTGGTCTTCTTCGAGGGAGGGAGTTCTACATGAAGGACATGTACTCATTTGATGTGAGTGAAGAAGCTGCTTACCAGACCTATGAGTCCGTGTGCCAAGCATACACCCGGCTCTTTTCCCGGCTGGGCCTGCATTGTGTTCAGGTGCAGGCGGACACAGGAAATATCGGTGGTAAACTCTCCCATGAGTTCCAGCTGCCGGCAGACATCGGCGAGGACCAGCTTCTGGTCTGTGGGAATTGCTCCTTCTCTGCTAATGTAGAGACCATGTCATCAGAGGGAACTGACTGTCCACAGTGTAAAACTGGCACTCTGGAAGAGTCGAAGGGTATAGAGGTCGGCCACACCTTTTACCTGGGGAAAAAATACTCTGCAATATTCAATGCGACCTTCAGCAATGCCCAGAACAAGCCCAGTGTCACTGAAATGGGCTGCTATGGTCTCGGAGTAACCCGTATTCTTGCTGCAGCCATTGAGGTGATGTCAACAGAGGAGGGGATCCGCTGGCCGGGGCTCCTCGCCCCTTACCAGGTTTGTGTTTTACCTCCAAAGAAGGGCAGTAAAGTGGACGAGGTGGCTCTCTTAGCTGACGACCTGGTTCACGCTTTGGGAGAGGCTTTGCCACGCTTGAGAGGTGAAGTGGTTCTTGATGACCGCACACAAATGACAATTGGAAAGAGGCTGAAGGACGCCAGCCGACTGGGCTACCCATATGTTATTGTAGTCGGGCAGGGCGCTTTAGAGGACACACCCAGGTTTGAGGTGATCTGTCAGCAGACAGGTGAGACGATGTTTCTCAGTAAAGACGGACTGTTAGATCTACTGGGAAGAGTGGAAACTGTATGAATCATGTGGAAATCAATGATTATGTTTGTGTTTCTACCAGTCAGGTGGAGGGAAAAAAGAAAATGAACATTGTATGTGTTGTAATGGGACTGGAGGGGGCTTTCACAAAGTTCTGAAATCTATAATACTTTTTGACATTGCTGATTGACAAATAACTCAATGTCACAATAAAAGCTTTGGAATGATACTAAGAATATGAATTTGCATTTGATTACCATGATTTAAGAAGGTCAGAGTTTTACTTTCCTTTGTGGCTTTTCATGTTCTTTTGCCAATAAAAACATAAGCCCACGGATGTGGACGGAAATAATGATCATTTTCTATTGTGTTTTATTAGAATATACAAATGTACCCACTGTACAACCATGTCATGAAAGACAATGTAATGCACAAAATAAAACCGTATTTCCACTAATGGAAGAAGCTCTCAGGTCCTTTGTTGACAGTAAGTAAAAGTTGCAATATATCAGTGAATATATCATCACAAGGGAAACTAACATGTTTACATGACCTAATTAATGTGCAACATTTTAATGTATAGTTGTCAAATACATTTTAAATAATACATTTTATAAGATAGGTCATTAAATTGTAATAAAACCTGGTTCTGGGCAACAGAGGAACATTTGTGTATTTATTAGCTTTTTAACTTTAACCATATATCTATCTTTCTAAGTATTTTGTTTGTCGATCAATTAAAAACGTCAACATCAAATAAACAAATTAAATTATTATTTTTTATCTTCACCCTTCATCGAGGAGGAAGTGGAACTAAAGTTTCAGTCACTGTTTCCTCACGGACGGTCATCTGTGTGGTACCAGCTGTACACATGTGTAAACAAGCGTCTCTCGCCGTTAGCGTGACAGAAACATCACAGATGCTGAGTCAGAGGCAGAAACATTGAGTCGTAGTTTATTTAAAAAGTCTGAAGAACAAAACAAAAGTTCATTCAGGAAACAGACTTCTACGGGAAATGGCGTCTTCAGCGCAACAACACGAGAGCGACGACGACATGGACGAGTTTATGGACAAATTCAAGACCCTCGAATATAAAAACGCCTTCAGCAAAGACAACTGGGAAGAGGTAACACTCACGACCAGCCGCCATCACACAGGAAGTTACTGTGGCACTTTGTTGTCTTTAGCTACGAGGCTACATGTGTGTGTTCATGTGTGTGTTCATGTGTGTGTTCATGTGTGTGTTCATGTGTGTGTTCATGTGTGTGTGTGTGTGTGTATCCTCCAGGAGTTTGATAAAGTTCCCATGTTCATGAAATCTCTCCCCGATGAGATCGACCCAAACAAGTACCCGGAACTGGCCTGTATCCAGTCCATCATCCACAGTGAGGACAGGTCTCCAGAGGGTGAGCTGAAGATGTAACATACTACCTCAATATGTCAGTCAATCAATCAGTTTTTGTTTGTACAGAGGTTTTCATACAAACAAGTCTTTTGACGCTTTCACTTTATTTTGATAGCAAAATTAAAAGAAAATATTTCCTTTGGTCCAGTTTCACTCGGTCCTTCTTTTAATAAACTATTTTTCTTTTATACTTGCCTCTAACGCTCCTCTGCAGCTTATGAGACAACCTGCAGGAGTCGTGCTCAAAGAAAACTCTCATGACCGAGTTCATTTCTCCCCAGAACAAGTGAAATGCCTGAAAAACGAGGGAAACGACTTCTTCAAGGAGAAGAACTATCAGAAGTCCATACTGTGCTACACAGCAGGTCTGCAGAAGAAGTGTGGGGACCAGGAACTCTGCACGGTTCTTTTCACCAACCGTGCTGCAGCACACTTTTATCTGGGTGGGGATTTCTTCTTTACACACCACACACTTACAGCTGTATGTATTTCTAGCACCAGGGATGTGGGTTTGTTATGTATCTTATTCATGAAAAAAAAAGTCTGTGTTCCTCTCTCGCAGGCAACATGCGCTCTGCACTGAACGATGCTGCAGCTGCAAAGAAGATCACACCAGGTCATCTCAAAGCCTTGATCAGAGGTGTGTCACGCATGTACACGAGTTTGGCGAATGGCCTAAAAGAAAAGGAAAGTTTTAATTTCTCAAAAACAGCTCACAAAGAAATCACCAGCTTGGGTTTAAAGGTGATCCCAAGCAGTTGCTGATTATGTTAAATGACTTCACATATATTAAACAATCCTGAGAGAAACAATGGGACATTTTTAGTGGGCGGTGACATCCATTTAATTTACGTAAAGGGGAGTAGATTTTATAAATATAAAGGTCCACACAGGAAAAGGAAAGGCCCTAAAGAACGACTCGTTTGCTTCGTTCATACCAAAGAGCCGCTGAAAAGAATGGGTTTCATTTGCAAAAGTCACAACATTTTCTCGCAGAACATATTAACCATAACACACTGTTAGAACGATATATTTTGTTTGTGTTCATGCAGGTGCTCAGTGTTGCATAGAGCTGCGCAACTTTTCAGAGGCCCTCCAGTGGTGTGACGAGGGACTGAAAGTTCATCCCACCGACAAGAAACTTCAGGAGCTGAGAGCTGCCGCAGATAAACACAGGGTACAGTCACTGCGGAGTTCAGAGGGGAGGCTGTTTTATTCTCTCTCTGATCTCAGTCTCACACAAAGCCTTGTTCATGTCCTGCACTAGAGAGCAGCAGAGAGAGACGCCAGGAAGGCCAAGGTGAAAGCGAAGAAGTTGCATGGTGAGAAAGAAGCTCTTCTGGCAGCTATAAAGGTATGTGCTCTCTTTGAAAGTGAAAAAAGTTCACTAGAAACCTGATCTCCCTTAAACCTTTCACTCCTACTTCAGCCTCTCATCAGAGTTATTTACAATTATGTTTTGAGAACCTATTTAAAATGTAATTTTATTTGATGTGAGTACTTAAGATATATGAATGAGGTTCACTATTGATTGATACTGAAGCACCTTGTTGAACATTGCATAAATAACCTGAAACAATTCGTCAAAGCTGAGACTACTTCTGCCAAAAATAATGTTTTGTTGCGATGTACGATCTAAATTAAATAGTCAGTTGCATATTTTGGTGCTTTGTGCAGGATCGAGGCATCAAGTTTCTTCAGTCTGCAAAGAGGTGCGGTTCAGACGATGAAGATGAGGATGAAGGCTCCCCTGCAGTGATGTCACAGCTGAGTCTTGACGGCATCAGCTCGCAGGAGGCCACAGGTGCTCAGGTCTTCCAGGACGAGCAGGGCTCCCTGCACTGGCCTGTCCTCTTCCTCTATCCTGAACACCAGCAGAGCGACTTCATCTCGGCTTTCTGTGAGAGCAGCTGGTAAAAGATCCTCTCGCTCTGTTTCTTCCTCGTCCCGACTGTATCTCAATATTTCTGTGCTGATGATATGATACAAGTTCCACCTGAATCAATTGGGCCCAGCTGGAAAAATAACATTTCATTCTGCAATTTTTTGTGTCTACATTTTTATAATAAATGGATGAGATCAGGCAGCGAAACATTTTTTAAAACTAGCTAATGTAATCAAACTTCATAATAACACAACACTTTATTACTACATGTTAAAGAAAGAGGATAAGAGAAATCCTGGATCCGCTTGTTTATCCAGATCTGCTCCACACTGTAATGGGTTCTCTCCTCAGTCACATCCCACCCCTCAACAAAGAAACATTTTCTCATGTTTTAATTTTCTTATTTCCTTTGACTTTTCAACAGTTTCGTTGATCACTTGACCGTCATGTTTGGAGAAGAACTCCCACCCTGGGATGTGGACAGAAAATACCTCATACAAAATCTGCAGGTTTGTATTTGTGGCATCTCAGAGCAGTGTAGTTGCATGTAACATAGAATTGATTTTGTTTTGTTTCTTAAATTATAATTTTTTACCAACAAACACACGACTGCTTTGTTTTTATATATTTTTCATCATCAAGATTATTATTTGAAGTAATAAACAGCAATAAATAGTCCAATAACCAAAAGAGGGGCAGTTATGTCAATAAATTAAATGAAATAATCAATATTCATCCTGATTTTCTTCATTTTCTAGTTGTACTTTGAAGATGAAGAGAAGGAGACACTTTACCAAGTAAACCCAGAGACGCCACTGTTAGAAGTGTTGCAGCATAAAAGGTAAATCCACTGAGACGATGTGTGTTTGTAGTTTGATTTACACTGTGGCCTCTGAATGTTTAATGCGGATGAGCTGACTATTGTCCTGAGTAGCGGACGTCAGTAGTGTGGACGTCAGGCGTATCCGTCACATGGTTGATGCATAGTATTGTGGATGTAGCCTTAATTTAAGGGGACTCTTCCAGTTTGTAATTAATGAAGTTTTTAAGGCCCAAATTTGTCTTTGCAGTAACTTAAAGATAAACAGACTTGAAAGTTTGCTCTGTCTGTGGTGTTTCCTTGTATCAGTTAACTTCCTTCACACTCAATGTTGGTTCACGGTCTTATCTGTTCTGTTTACAGGTTTTTTGTGAAAGCAGGAAGTCCCAGCTTCATCGTTTTGGTAACGGGATCATCGTTCTGGAAGCAGTTTATATCAGGAAAGAAAATACGAGGATTGTAATTTTTATATTGGTCTTCAAATCTCTGATTTTTAAGACACAAAATTATGTTTTTAACCCAAAACACTTATGTTGTTAAAGAAAAAAGGCACCCAAGGCAAATGCATGTATGTCTTTGTGCCTCTGTACACTGTATGACACAGAATCTCAGTGTAAATGAAATAAATGAATTATATAAGAGCTACACATGTAGATTCTTTCTTGAATGATTTTTAGTTGAATTCTTAAATTATTGATCAAACATAAATTAATATACGTTCAAACACAGCCACTGCTTCTTCACATCGAGAAGGGACAGTTGAGTTGGTTCAGGCATCTTAACAGGCTCCTCCAGGATGACTCAGGGGTAGACCCCGAACAAGCTGGCGGGACTACATATCCCATCAGACCTGGGAACGCCTTGGAATCAACCAAGATGAGCTGGAAAGCACGGCCGGGGAAAGGGATGTCCGGAATACTTATCCGGCTTTCCCAGCGACCTGAACTAAGGTAAGTGGGATGGATGAATTAAATGGAGAAAGAAAACAAACCTGGTAATTGGTGTAAACGTGATGTAAGCAAAAGCAACATAATCTTAACTTAAGCTTAATCATCCACTAATCTTTATTTCTGATGAGGTGCTGCTGACTAAAAGTAAAAGCACCGGTTTGTTTTTCATTTCACAGATGACTAATGTGTTCCTCAGAATCATTCAGTGAACTCACAGCTTTGTTTTCCTTTGTCTGAAGTGGTTTGACAGGTTATGGGTTTGGTCACAGTCGCAGCTTGGTCCCCAGTGTCCTGCACTGAGACCCAATCCTATCATCACACTTTTCATTTTATATTAAAAGAACACACTGATCCTCATGTATAAATGATTTGCATTAGAGTGATTTCCTCATGCTTTCAAGTTTTCCGCTTGCGTTTGAATGCATTTTGTTAGAACTCTAGACCCATACAACCAGTTTTGTTCTGATAGGTTTCTCCCACAGAGTAACACCACTCATTTGACATATAATCATAATTTAATAGCCATTTGTCTTTGTGTCCCCAGGATTAGGAATAAATTACTGAAAATGATGCCTTGTTATATTCCTGGTGTCTATTTTCCCGATGCAACGGGGTAAAGCAATGATAATAACTTTACTTTGCACCTTTTAAAAACAGCTGCTAAGGAGGGCTTCACACAGACAACAATTCAAATCAGAAACAACAAAATAAATCATTTATTAATGAAAGAACTTTTTAAATCAGCTAATCACGACTTATTGATCAGATCATGTTGATTAAACACCACATGTCAGATTTAACTGACACCACTTTTTTTTACTTTGAATGCCAAATTTCTTCAATTTGTATTCGACACAATATAAAAAATGGAATCAAGCAGCATAATTTGGATTATTAATCTATACCTGTGACAAGACAGAACTTTTCAAGGAGAGGCCGCAAATCTCAGTATGACGTCATGATGACCCCATGTTGGTTCACAGCAGCAGGGCGTTGTCCCATCACCATAGGTGCAGGCTGTGCGTTGACGATGACCACGTTGTTCTTTTTGACTTGTTTTAACTCACGATGCATCTGACACCAGGAGCACCACATACAGAAACAGGAAGCTACGATGTCCTTACAGAGAGAGCCCTTCAGAGACCGGAGTAAAGAAATATGTAAATTAGTTAATGTATTCAACATGTAGGGATATTCTTGGTGAATCAGCTTTACAAATGTCACACCTTGATGCCGTATCTGCTCCGAATGGAGGCCCGGAGAGTCACTGCGGCGGGGGGGACAAAGAGAGGTATCCCGCAGGCGGATAAGATAGCAGGGCTGCAAATGTCGCATAAGGGGAGGCAACGGTTCTCTCCGAATTTTCCTGAAACCGTGCAGGCGAGGCAAGGACAGCACCAGAAGCCATAGCAACCTGAAATGAGTAAGTCTTACTGAAGGATGTTCCTTAAAATAAAATCCAAATCGTGCAAATGACAAAATTGTGGTATCGATTCTTACAAGAGCTTCCATCCTCGAGGCAGTCACAGAGACCGCTGTTCCAGTCTCTCAAATTTGCTGCCATTGGATGTTTGGTCACAGATGGTTGAACAATGAACCTGTTCACACATAAAGGAAAAACGCAACAGTTCAGGGTGAAGATTAAACTAGTTGACTAGCCTTCCGTTCAATTCACAATTAAATGTCTTAGAGCCATTTTGTAGTGGACTTGAAATGGTAAGACAACAGTAATAGAGCAGACAGATTCCTCAGATACTCTCTACAGTAAATGACAGTTTCTCTAGACTTTAACAGCATGAGATTAGCATCTATAGTTATGATACAACTACAATTCTTTCATTGTGCTTTGATGTTTCAGTAAAAACCTTAGAATCACCAAAGATTATCTGATGGGATATAAGAGCAACACTATCAAGTCTCTTTGATCAAATCATATGCTTCTTAAACCATGTTAACAATTAGAAATGACCAGGGTTCCTCTGTTTACCCAAAGAGGTTAAAGTTTGTCAAAAACTGCTGCACCAAAATAAAGAAAGTCACAGATTGTGTCTACAAAACCCTCTATCCCTCCACCCTGTTCTTAAACATGTCACATTCCATCTGTTACTACAACACAGTAAAATACCAGTTAAAAGTAAAATCTCCTACCTGATTGAGCTGGGCACGTCCTCTTGGCAGCTCTGAACCTGTGTAAGTGAAGCGTACCTCACACAAGGAGTGACATCTTTTGCATGTCAGAGAAAAACTATGCTGCCAAACCGGAATGGTTGGGCAAACAAGTGGAATCAAAACTACCTGCTATGAATAGTATGTTTATAAAGCCCAGAGGAAAAGATCATGATGGTTTTAAATTGTCCTCAAGGTTTAAACTTCACACATTAAGTTACTAAACTAAACTTTGGTGCCCTCAGGTGATGGTTTTAATAAAGACACTGCAGAGGCCATCTACCAAACAATATACTGGTGCTGTTTCTTCATCAGCTCTAGACTTGTGTTTATTGAAAGTTCATTTATTTGTCAAATCAGAGATCATTGATTCACCCTTTCCTTGTAAATTGTCATGATTTTCATATTTACTCAAACTCCACAAGTTGACAGGTCTGAGGAGGCCACAGGGCGTTTCTCTGCCTTCAGCTCCCAATCACTCGAAGTTCATCTGTGTGACCCAGTTTCTAAGGCGTTATGAACACAAAACTGTTCGTGGACTCCCGATTGTCAACTTGGGGATTATAATTAGGTTTTCATTTCAATGCAATACTGTCAATACGTATGAGACACGAGACAGTTAAGATGTAAATTCAAGGTTAATATCAGGAAGAATGAGTTGACGGACCTCTCAAATGTATCTGACAACCGACGTGATGACGCTTCTCTGGGACTCACCTAGCAGCCAAAGATGTTACAGCTTTGTTATCTAAAATCTTTACAGCAACCATGTACAAGTTGCCCAAGACTCTGGAAACACAGAAGGAGATTCTTATGTCAATGACGTCATCATCTTTTCAGGGCAGTAATGCAACGCTTCAGATGCCAGCTGCCGCAGAACCTCAAAGAAGCAGAAGAAGAAGAATGCCATCATATTGTCAATGATGTTGTTGACAAGATGGCAGAGCAGTGAGTTACTATGCCACCTACTGGTTTCCTAGTGATGATTACCTACTGGTTACTCTGGTCTGCTTTATGGACACCAGTGAGTGAACATTGCTTTCTACAACTTTGTGCTTACTTATATTGATGTAGCTCATGCTCAATAACATTTAGTTTAAAGATTATAATACTTTTCATATGCATAATGCTTGAAAATAAAGTTGATTAGTTGAGCTAGTGTATCTGATTCTCTTTTTAAAAGTGTAGGCTAGTTGTTTTGCATGTCTCGCCTTGTACTTCCGTGTGTCTTGTGATTGCTGTAAGTAAGGGCTCAGCCATAGTATACAAGTTAGTATTCAACCAGAGTACTTATTGTTCAGTCCTATGAATGTGTTAATTTGAATAACTTTACCATAGTGGCCAAATTTACAACTAGTCTGGTGACCGTTACATCAATGAATAGGGTTAGCCTACAAACTGAGAGGTCCTGTGCTTAACATGAAAATAAAGAAATGATTTATGGGAGGGTTTGTCTTCTATTAACCACCTGTGGGGAGGAGGATGTCTAATGTCTGATAATCTTCACCTGTGAGGAGGTGGGCAGGACCACACCAGAATAAGAGCCGTCATTTGGATGGACGTGGGGAGAAAATACAAGAGACCAAACTGCTGCTGGTGCCATGACGACAGGGTGCTGTTCAAAATTTGAAGTGTTTCCGGAAGCGAAGAAGCAAAAATGAAGAAATCTGTTCTAGTTTAAGGAGATCGATCACTCAATAACCCCCCATAGGTAGCGAGGGACCGGGTATTAGTACGTGCCTTCGCCAGTAGCTGTCCTGAGTGTGACACCAGCCCCTGCATCATGTCGTCATTCCAGTTTCTTCTTGTCCGAAACTCACCTCTTCACCATCACTGTCATGGCGTCCCGGCTGCAGATTCCATGTTCGCACGCCACAGGGGAGTATAGTCGCAAAACCAGGGCGAGGTAAGTAAAACAAAACACTTTCATGTTTAATGTTTGATTTTGTATCTGACTATAATTTATTGTGAGTAGATTTTAATAACCTGACATGTTAGTTGTTGTGGTGGCCGTCTGCCTCCCCCTATTGGTAGCATTTGGTTTGTCCTGCTTACAGTTTGTAGGGGTCTTTAATATTTGCTGTGATGACGTTTCACAAGTCCACAAGAAGGGTACAAGTACAGTCAAGTACGCAGATTGAGAAAGAGGAAGTACTGTTATATTTGCTGTGCAATAATTGAACCTACCTGCACTGTTGTGTTTGTTTTCTATAAGTTGACATCCTGAGTTCCTGATTTGTAGGGTTGGAAGTTTTAATGAATTTGCATTTGTAATAAAGCCATATATATATATATATATATATATATATATTTTATATTTAATTCCCCTACCTGGTGATCTGCAGCTGTAATAAACCAAAATGTCTTTGAGTCCAAAGTAAAATATTAAAATACCTTGTTGTATTTGTCCAGAATCCAAACATATTCATAATAATGTGAACAAAGAAACACACCAGATTCTTTTACTTGACATATAATGTATATAGACACATTACAGGAAAATGTTTTGTGTTTAAGAAAGTCAAGAAAAAAAACATCTGTTTGAAAAAAAACATAAATCTGAGTTAGGATTTCTTTTATTAATTACAACCCAGATGCGTACACAAATAAGAAAAAGCGTATTTTATATTAAAAAAATATATTTTCGCATTTATTTATTCTACATTTTAGCCTTTCTTTCACAATTATTGTGATGTGCAACAACTTCGTCTTGATTGAAAGAAAAAGAAAACCAAGGTAAAAAAAATAATGATTTGAATAATAAATGTCCCACAAGATTTATGTGATGACTAAAACTCATATGAAATTCTCACAGCTGTTGAATGTGTTAGTATCCAATGGATAAATCTTAGTATGAAGCCACTACAAACCCTGTAGCACGCATTACAGGGGCAGTAGGTTGGACCGCAGGAGCCATCATCTCTGGCTGAGGCTGCATGTTGATGACAGGGGGGTTTTCCTTGCGATATTTTAACTCTCTTCTCATCTGACACCAGGAGCACCACATACAGAAACTAGAAATCAAGATGTCGTTTATGAGAGTTCCCTGCAGAAAAACAAAATGCAGATTATGCAGTTTTTATTCTGTCCCACTGTTATTTAAAGTGCAGGTTTTGTTTGGAAACAAACAGGGAATTTGAATGTCTTAAAGCCTCATATTAAATTAGCTTTAGATGAAATTAGGAATTCATTTTTTGCACAGAATGATTATGTAGTTTGTCCCTCATTATTTCCAATGAAATTGCTTTAATGAGGGTATATGAGACATTGCTATTGACGTTTAAGTTTGACGATATGAAAACTTAAATTTTATAGACTAAACAATGCAGAAAAACCCTTGTTGGAAGTGGTGTCAATGTGTAGACTAGTGCAGTGTCCGTTCTTAACCTGCCTGTTTGGAATGGGATGCTGACTTCTCCTGTGTTAATGCTCCAAAGCAGAATCAGAATTATTCCTGGTCAGTAGTGACAGTTCTACAATAACTGTGCTGGACATTGTGTGCAGAGTGAAGTTAGAAAACTTTGTGTTCACCCTACCTGGTTTATCTGCAGTGGAGATTTTATAGTCAATGCTTTTAAAATGAAACCGTTTTTGCTTTATTACTGTTCACGTGTGTGCCTTATATATAAGCTACTGATCTGCTGTTATTGTTTCATACATTGCATATAGGCAGTTTCAGAGGTCTGATACGCACCTGGCACAATCTTCAGTTTGCAACTTTTCAAAATTGTAATTCAGCTAAATATAAAACATTGCAGCAGCAAAACAAATGTTGTGCTTTTACTTTGAAGAGAACATTCGAAAGAGAATGCAATTTCTAGGAATGTTGCCACCGTGATGGATAACAAATTATCAAAATGGAATTTTAGACTCGCGGTTTGTCCAAGTTGCAAACCACTGCTCTACTTTATCTGAGAATGTTGAAGAAAACATGTTCAACTCGCTCTACAGACTGAAGGCCCACTGCACCGCCCCCACTGACTGCTACATAGCACTAGTTGCCTGTTTATTACAATTTTTATGGATATTGAAGGTGCTGTGTGTCAAAATTGCACCACATTTGACTCTGCACTTCTGCAATTTACAACAGACATGCAAAGTTTGAAGCCAATAAGATGTATGGCTTTTATAAGACGGACATTGTGGAACAATAATCTAGTAAATCCCTCACAAATTGTGTTTTATTATTTATTTTCCTAGAACAATTATCAATGAAAAGGTGTCATAAAGGTTTGGGAATATGGGAATCATTACCAATGTACAGTACTTCTTCATATACATATTGGGACTCCCTAATACAGGGTTGACCCCCATACTACTCTCTACGCTCTACTTTTAATGCACATGCGAGATTTAAGAATAACTTAGAACAACCTGAATCTATCCATCCTAAATTTTACAGCTAATAAATAGTATAAGCTTTAAATTATTCTTCTATATTCCATACCTCAATGCCGTACTTGTGTCGTATAGCAACCCTCAGAGCCAAGCCAGCAGGAGGGATGCAGCATGGTAATCCACAGCATGCTGTGCAGGCGGGGGTGCATATGTCGCACATTGGGAGACAACGGTGCTGACCAAATTCTTCTGAAAGTGTGCAGGCATTGCAACAGCAGCACCAGAAACCAAAGCAGCCTGAAAAACAAGAGTTGTAATGCTGCTCCAAGTGACAACAAACACAAACTTATACATCATGGAGTTCAAGAGTTCTTACAAAACTTTGAGTCTTCACAGCAGTAGCAGAGGTCAATGTTCCACCGGGCCTTGGGATATGCCATTGGCTGCTGAATCTGAACCTTTTAGCACACAAACACACTGCACTTTTTTAACAACACACACGACTCAAACCCTTAGTTTACATCAGCAGTTATAGTTTATTCACTGGATGAATACAACAGCGTGGGCGAATCACCGCCTGTTAATCTGGAACTCATCTGCATTCAAAATAAGGCTTTAAAATCTAATAAAACTCAGCAGAGTTCAGTCTCTCTAATGCTATTGTATTTTACTTTTAAGATCAATGCATCTATTTTTTTTTTCTATGGGAAACATCGAAGTCCTACCTGATGAAGCGAAGAGTCTTGTTGCCACTGAGGGAAGCTCTGAGGAAATAAGTCTTGTCTAAGGAGTGGCGTACCAGTCATGTTGAGAAGAGGAGCACAAAACAATGCGGCAGAACCAGACAGAATGTGTGCAAACAGATGCTACGATCACGGAAGCCTGTACGGGAAAAAGGAGTGAGAGCACAGCTTTTACCGTAAAACAGGTGTGGCTCTCTGTGCCAAAGAAATGTTGTGAAAATTCCCCTCTTAGACAATGACATGATGTTTCTCTCCTGCAATGAGCTACCTCGCACTCAACAGGACGTTTAACCACAATAATTTCTGGGTGTCTGGAATAAGGATATTTCAACCAACAAACTCAAACCATCCCTATTACATTTTAACATTTTAAACCTGACTTGTTTTTATTGGTCATTAAGTATCGTCATTAAGTTTTGATTATTATTGTAAATTTGACTTTCTGCATATTCCAGTTAATTGCGCCATACATCCATTTTTCTGCAATCTCACATTTCACTGTACCTAAAAGTTGTTTTATGTCAAAGAAAAGAATCTCATGCAAATTCCTTCAAATCAAGATGATAATGTTCTTGTTTACTATTTTGCATAAACAAGGTGAAACCTTTGGCCTGGCCCAAATCAGATAAAGTATGGGTGACAATTAAAGTAATTATATTTGCCTTGATAGACCGAATCATGTCAGTGACGAAGCAACAGATATCTGGCAGCTGTTGTTAGGTTCTGCACAACCAAGTGGGAATTAATACCTGAGGTATTTTCAAGGTATTCAGAGGAAGCATGTTGCTCTTCTCGTTCTTTACACTGAAGACACATACGAGTTTATTTAAATACATTATATAAGCCACATATTACATCTTACTGTATGTATGTATATATATATATATGTGTATATATATATATATATATATATATATATATATATATATATATATGTATATATGTGTATCCACACATACGTACCGTAAGACAGACGTGCCGTTTCCAAACCACTTTGAAAAATAGAGCATCAGGTATTCATGTGTTGTTGTGTTTGTAGTCTAACCTGTTTATTTGTTGTCAAGTGATTATAAAAAGAAACTGTTTATTTGCTTAGTTTATCATATATTTTTCTTAAACTCTTTGATTCCCAGTCACCCACACAATCAGATCTTGAGGCTTGCTTGTGCTCGCTGCTTTGTGGCCTGGGTCTGTGTTGAGTGGGACCATTCTTCAATGGATTATATATATAGATTCATATGGTTATCTTACATATGGATCTTAACAGTATGAATGTTTAAGTGGTACCATTCAGTGATCAATTTTCCCTCTGTCTCTTTATTTTAAGAAGAAAATATCCAATAATTTAATGATCATTTAAAATTATAATCATGTGGAATCACATCTTGGCCACTAAACCTGAGCAAAGCAAAATCAGAATCTATATAAAAGTGAAATCAAAAGTGCTTGTTGAGAATAATATCACCATGATATTTCTTGAATAATGTGTAGTGGCAGTAGTTGTTGCAGATTCGTCAATATACTTTCACAGCACACATTTGATATTTTATTGTATTTTCCAGTGGTAAGTTAAAGAAAACAATTGAATGAAATTTAAATTACATAAGTAATATTTCATAGTTTGGTGTATTGACTGCAATTTGCACATGTTTATTGAGTGAACACTGTGAGAATATGTCATATGTAACATTTAAATACTGCAGTATCCCCTTTTTTGTGAATTAGCTTTGTTTAAGCTACAATATATAACTTTTTATATTATTATTTCTGTTGAGATTTACTCCAAAACATTAATGAAGGGAGGTGCTGACCCAGTCTGACCAAGACTCATTGAACAGCCTGGGAGCCGTGCAGAGATCTCCCCTTCAAAAGTTTCTTTGATTGCCAACCAATCAGAGTAAGCCAGAGTTATTAAAGTCACACGTTATCCATCCTCATGTCAAGGAGAAAGATTTTGAAATTGTTTTCTTCTTGGCCAGTTGTTTAGGAACTACTGTCTCCAGGAGCCTCTTCACTAGATCTAGTCGTCCTGCTCTGATCAGGGCCCTGGACAATTCTGTGACCTCTGCCGTCTGAGTCCTGTAAAGGCACCTCAGCTCGGCCTTCACAATGTCCTTAGGGTACCTTTCCTCTGCCTTTTGCACCCACATCTCCAGCTGGCTGATGGCAGGGCTTGGATCAGGTCCTCCCTGCATGAACACGGACAGGAGGGCCTGTAGGAGGCAGCGCAGGGCTGTGGTGTCGGTGCTTCCTGGCCTCTCTAAATCCACGGCCTGTTTGAAGCAGTCTGCAGCGTTCTGATCCTCGCCCTTCAGATGGAGGCAGCGTCCTCTGAGCACATGCAGGTCTGGCAAGCTGTCACCCAGCTGAAACTGTAGGGCGTGCGACAAACTCACCAACGCACAATTCACCGCTGCCTCGTCCACCAAAAGGCTCTCCTGGAGGGCATCTACACCCATGTAGTAGTATACCTTGAGAGTAAGACAATGATTTAAAAACTCTTGCTCCTTAATCTATATTGCTCCTTAATTGTTTAAGCTTTTACCTGTGCAATCTCGAGGTGAGTTCGGAGACATGGACGTACACTCAGGACCTTGTCCAAGTCTTTTCTGGCCTCAATTAGCAGCTGCCGGTCCGGGATTCCACCTTGACCACTCTTTGCCTTCTCTAGGTCCCTGATGTAGAACATCATATTGATCTAAAAGAAAAAAGACATTATAGATATTTTTCTCCGGCATTTTGTTGACATCTTATCTCCACTTTGTGGACTATAAAAATGAATTGTAACTATATATAAATCAATATGTGGTTTCCGTTAATCTTTTCAGTCAGTTTAAATCAATTCAAATTCTCAAGCATTAAAGGGATTTAACAGGGTCATTGACTAATGCTTGTCGGCTCAATTCTGGCGTCGACTCGGTGTGTTAATGCTGCGTTACCTTGGCGCGGGTGCAGTAAGCCTGCCAGTTGAGCTCTGGATCTGGCAGCACATTTAAGGCCATGTTGCTGATCCCTGTGGCCATCTCGTGTTTGCCCAGCAGAAAAAACACCTTGGCCAGAAGGTTCAGGATGAATGCATCATCACTGGCCATGTTTATGGCCTGAAGACACAAATAGTTTCTTGTTATGGTGGAGCACAGCATCAACTTCTAGTTTCTATACTGCAAGAGGAATGATTTCACACTGTAAATCTGTATCAACGTGGAAATATAATCAAGTTTGCAAATGAGAAAGAAACAAGAGCACAACTGTTATTTACCATTTGCCTGAAGAATTGCATGAGGCTCAACTAACAAATTGTCTCGCTTGGTCAGAAGTTATGACAGATATCTCAAATTACAAACAAGGAGGATATTGTAGTCGAGTTGTATCGAGTACCCACAGATAATCCTTTAGTAAAAGTATTTAGAGAGTTTATCAGAGTTTGAACAGCTTCAAAATACTCTAGTTGTGTCCAACTGCAGCATTCATGCTAGGCAACAGCAATAAAGGTGGGACAAGCTGGTGAAATCCTGTCTCATTTCAGTTCGGCTTTCTGTCTACACAGCCCATGAAGACTGCTTCATTCTTGGGTGGCGTAGATTGCATCCTCAAAAGGGTGTGGCCTCTGAAAACACCGGTTTTTCTTCTTCTGGCTTGTCCGTTATTTATCTGGGCGATGTAGCAGGTGAACCTACGGTTCCATAGCAGGACAGAGGATCAGAGGCAGAATATCCACAGTCGTGTATGGACATGGGCACAGTGGTGAAGTCGTCCTTCCTCTCCAACAGGATGCCAATGTAACACCAGGCCAGAGCTGAGGACACAGATCAGGAATCCAATTTATCGTGATAAAAAGAATACAGTAAAATTTTAAACATATTGCTGGTTTCATTCCTGACACACGTTCTGGTAATATTAACTATGGCTTCTGATCATATGCATTAGATTGCAGCACCTAAATCCAGTGATGGACCATAATAAGCACTACTACAATACTCCTTCATGCTATTTAACACCTAATACAGGCTTTCATATTTCAATTCAATCCACATCTGCTGTGTAGTCTTTTACTTACTCAACTTAGATTTTACAAATGAAATATGGGATCTGCTTAAAAATCATGCATGGATTAAATGTGTCTACTGTTTTTATTTAAATATATTTGTCATAGCAATTCATAAATTCGTAAAAATACCTTGATGTTGCTTTTTCTCCGATTCCAGTGTTTCTTTGAGGAGCTTCAGTCCCTTATTGTAATGAGAGAGTCTGGAGTATTCGGAGTCCTCTGTGGTCTTTACTATATCGTCCAGTCTGCACGGATATAAAACAGAACAACTTGGTTGACATAAAACATTAAATAATGCCAATGTAATTTTGTTAAAATATTTTGATGTCAGTCTTGTACCTTATATAGATGGTTGCCATTTTAAAATACCAGCTTCGTTTTTCCTCCATTGGTATCTGAAAAACACCACGTCTTCAATCAGTTAATTAAAATTACATTTAGTGTGCAGGAATAGCAGGAACGTTACGTCTCTCTTCATTTGTGTAATGCACAAATAAAACGGACAACTTGATTTTAAAGTTGCATTACTTTAAATGATGTTTTACATCAAAAAGTCTTAACTGAGTTGTATTTTTATTCTATTTCACATTATCGATGTGTATCTTTCTCACCAGTTGTCCTCCATAGTCCAGGGCTTTGTTGTACAACCTCAGTGCGGCAGTCAGCCTCTCTCTCAGGTCGTCCTCGCTGTCCAGCTCCACATCGTATGGATAAACGTAAGCCTGTTCAGCCAGGCAGCGGGCCGCCAGCACCCTGGTCTCTTCCTGACAGGTCTCTCCAGCATCCAACCCCATGAGGTGGGACACTTTCTCCACACACTCCCCTGCGTCCAGCTCTCTGCCCAGCTTATCGTACACGTAGCCCAGGTTGGCCCAGGCGTTCAGGTTCCCAGGGTCTTCTTTACAAATACTTCTGAAAAGCCGAAACACACAGAGCGTCATGTTGTGATCATTATGTTGGTTATACAGCATCCTGCATTTATGACTCATTTAGCACCTGATTACTGTGAAAAGGTTAATGAAAGGTCATGATAATCCTTCATGCTACCTTTTTATGTCCACCAAGGATTTGTTGGTTGGTTTGTATGTTGGTTTGCACTAAAGCAACTGAACATAGTTCCATGAAA